AAAGGCCGCTCAGTAAGGAAGAAGCCACTGCTCCAAAACCGCCATAAAAAAGACAGACTACGGTTTGCAACTGCACATGGGGACAAAGATCGTACTTTCTGGAGAAATGTCCACTGGTCTGATGAAACAAAAATAGAACTGTTTGGCCATAATGACATCTCAAGACATCAGTCAGGAAGTTAAAGCTGGGTCGCAAATGGGTCTTCCAAATGGACAATGACCCCAAGCATACTTCCAAAGTTGTGGAAAAATGGCTTAAGGACAACAAAGTCAAGGTATTGGAGTGGCCATCACAAAGCCCTGACCTTAATCCTATAGAAAATGTGTGGGCAGAACTGAAAAAGCGTGTGCGAGCAAGGAGGCCTACAAACCTGACTCAGTTACACCAGCTCTGTCAGGAGGAATGGGCCAAAATTCACCCAACTTATTGTGGGAAGCTTGTGGAAGGCTACCCGAAACGTTTAACCCAAGTTAATCAATTTAAAGGCAATGCTACCAAAGACTAATTCATTGTATGTAAATTTCTGACCTACTGGGAATGTGATGAAATAAATAAAAGCTGAAATAAATCATTCTCTCTACTATTATTCTGACATTTCACATTCTTAAAATAAAGTGGTGATCCTAACTGACCTAAAACAGGGAATTTTTACTAGGATTAAATGTCAAGATTTGTCAAAAACTGAGTTTGTATTTGGCTAAGGTGTATGTAAACTTCCGACTTCAACTGTATATATCAACGAATTGGAGAGGGCACTAGAACAGTCTGCAGCACCTGGCCTCACCCTACTAGAATCTGAAGTCAAATGTCTACTGTTTGCTGATGATATGGTGCTTCTGTCCCCAACCAAGGAGGGCCTACAGCAGCACCTAGATCTTCTGCACAGATTCTGTCAGACCTGGGCCCTGACAGTAAATCTCAGTAAGACCAAAATAATGGTGTTCCAAAAAAGGTCCAGTTGCCAGGACTACAAATACAAATTCCATCTAGACACTGTTGCCCTAGAGCACACAAAAAACTATACATAGCTCGGCCTAAACACCAGTGCCACAGGTAACTTCCACAAAGCTGTGAACGATCTGAGAGACAAGGCAAGAAGGGCCTTCTATGCCATCAAAATGAACATAAAATTCTACATACCAATTAGGATCTGGCTAAAAATACTTGAATCAGTTATAGAACCCATTGCCCTTCATGGTTGTGAGGTCTGGGGGTCCGCTCACCAACCAAGAATTCACAAAATGGGACAAACACCATATTGAGACTCAGCATGCAGAATTAGGCAAAAATATCCTCCGTGTCCAACGTAAAACATCAAATAATGCATGCAGAGCAGAATTAGGCCAATACCCGCTAATTATCAAAATCCAGAAAAGAGCCGTTAAATTCTACAACCACCTAAAAGGAAGCGATTCCCAAACCTTCCATAACAAAGCCATCACCTTCAGAGAGATGAACCTGGAGAAGAGACCCCTAAGCAAGCTAGTCCCGTGGCTCTGTTCACAAACACAAACAGACCCCACAGAGCCCCAGGACAGCAACAAAATTAGACCCAACCAAATCATGAGAAAAAAAAAAAAAAATTACTTGACACATTGGAAAGAATTTACAAAAAAACTGAGCAAACTAGAATGCTATTTGGCCCTAAACAGAGAGTACACAGTGGCAGAATACCTGACCACTGTGACTGACCCAAAATTAAGGAAATCTTTGACTATGCAAAGACTCAGTGAGCATAGCCTTGCTATTGAGAAAGGCCACTGAAGGCAGACCTGGCTCTCAAGAGAAGACAGGCTATGTGCACACTGCCCACAAAATGAGGTGGAAACTGAGCTGCACTTCTTAACTTCCTGCCAAATGTATGACCATATTAGAGACACATACTTCCCTCAGATTACACAGACCCACAAAGAATTCGAAAACAAATCCAATTTGGATAAACTCCCATATCTATTGGGTGAAATACCACAGTATGCAATCACAGCAGCAAGATTTGTGACCTGTTGCCACGAGAAAAGGGCAACTAGTGAAGAACAAACACCATTGTAAATACAACCTATATTTATGTGTATTTATTTTCCTTTTTGTACTTTAACTATTTGCACATCATTATAACACTGTATATAGACATAATATTATTTTGGAACTTTTGTGAGTGTAATGTTTACTGTTAATCTTTTATTGTTTATTTCACTTTTGTTTATTATCTATTTCACTTGCTTTGGCAATGTAAACATATGTTTCCCATGCCAATAAAGCCCTTAAATTGAAATTGAATTTAAATTTAAATTGAGTTGAATTGAGAGAGAGATATGGATTCATTGGACCTATGGAATTGTTGGCTTTTGAGACGACATTACCATATATGTTAAATAGCCATAATGATTTTGGGTTTACTGAGAGAGAGGAATTAATGTATAAAGAGGGGTTCACTCTGTCACCAGCAGAGGGCAATCACTGACAAGCAGTTGTCACAGTGAGCAGCACAAACTACACTGTACATCTATCTGTTCAGTAATTATCACCATTGTATGAAGATTCTATTTACATGTATTTATAACTAAACTCCATACATAAAAACATACATAAAAGTGCCCCAAAAATGTAGACGTAACTCTAACACATTACGCATTGTACAAACCTATGGAATGCACTTATCAAGGTCAATACAGAGGGATATCAGCTGATGAGTTGGTATCAGTAAGGAAAAAGATATGTTATATTATTTAATGTAATTAATATGATTTTTGCCATTCTGCTCTGGGAGAACTTGTAGACCATATAGGCCTACTGTAAAGCAATTAACGTTGCTTTGTAATATACACTCAGCACTTCAGAACTGTAAATGGCTCTCGATAAGTGCCTTTGCTGAAGGCATCAGTGTCTTGTGCACAAACATACTCCATGGTGCACAGTTTCTCTTTCTCTGGTAGATGGTGCCCTCTTGAGGGGACTACATGACAGTTGTTAGGGATGGATTTCACCTCTGGTTGGCCACTGATGGCAGTTCTGTATCCATCCACAAGAGAGCAGTGGTCATCAATTATCTCAGCAAAAATATCCTTCCACCCAGGCCTGAGGAAATAAGCAATTTCTTGCTTACAGTCTGTCAATTCACCTGACCTGTATCAATGTATGGTCAGAGCTTAACTTTGTTTTTATTGTTATTTTTTGCCTGTTTAGTGTATGGTCAATGAGATTCAGATGCCATACTTCACTTTGAAATATGAAATAATGTGCCTGTTAAATGCAGTACACATAAATGGACAGATCTCTATTTGTTTCCACACTTTGCATACTTTGAACAGAAAAAAGCACACTTGAGGACAAAGATAGGGCAGCAGGGATGATGCAATAAATAGCTTGTTTTTATAAGGTTAGGGAAATGTGCCACTTTTTAGGATGTCAATATAAATGAATGTAATGTGGCTGTTTGTAATTTTGTCTTGCCTTTTAATCATTATATGTGTTGTTGTTTTGTACCATCGAGGACCACTTTGGAAACAAGACGTGTTTTAATGAATACTTTGAAGTGCTATCCTCTGGGTCCACATTGTATATTTTGTTGTATATGTCTGTTACCCAAATAAATGCAATTCAATTCAACCTTTATCTCCATCAGGGTTATTTGATGCTAGCCGATTCCAACTGTCTCTTGTGAAAACACTTATCAGCCACCAAATATAAAAACAATACATTATTTAAAATATATATATATTTGCAGGCCTAGTAGGCCAAGGTACATGTGTTATTAGTAGGCCTGGGACTAGGCCTACGTCTGACAATTGTAATTCGATTTGTGTTGATTTGTTTTATGGTAGATATTGCAATTCATTTTAGATGTATGATGGAATCTCTTATGCAAAAGAGGGATGGATAACAACCAAGATCATGCCAAATACTGAGGCACGCACAGGCGCGAGACCACATTGTCGTTGAGCGGGTGTCAGGTGATACTTCATGTTCCTTTAAACCGGAATTAGCTGTGAAGTGCGACCTTGAAGTGTTGAAGTGCGAACTAGAAGGAATGTGAATAGTTCGCCTTGCTACAGGAGAAAGTCTCATCATACTTAGCTTCACCTCCTTTGTAAGTTAATAGCTTTATCAAATATGATCGGCTTCTGAAGGTGTGAAACGAGGCTGGGGACATGGGAGACGTTGCGTGATAGACGTTGAGTTACCAAAGACATTATTCAACGAAAGGAGAGGAGTGTGACCATCTCGTGCACGCGCTGACAGCGCTGTAACTGTTTAATGCTGTCTTTTATTATTCGCTGACACATAACAAAATGACAATAACACAATCAAGAAGTTGACATCCACAATTGCACTTTATATCATTAATAGCCTACAATTATAGCTTATTATAGCACAGTAATAGCCCTGTATTAAAATTAAGCCCAGGCTATCACATCTTACTTTCTAAGGAATAATGTATGCAGCTTCAGAGTAGGCTTAAATAAATACTAATGCTGAAAATATAAAATATGTTGCAAGCACACTTCAATTACGCATAGGCCTAAGAGATAGGTGTAAGGCCTAACGTGATCAGGAGCATATTAATTTTAAGCATATTGTTTGTTGGTGAAGTTGCAGTTCAATTTTGCAATTATATTTTGATGCATGCCGCCAATATTTCAGAGTTGAAGTGCAGGGTTTGCTCTTTGGGGTGATGCGTAAAAAAATGTGCTAGGGGACAGTGGGTTTGGCAGCATTATTGACTCTTCATTTGAATGCAAATCGTTGGGGTTTGAAGACTCGTCTGACGTCAGGAAGGAAGACCATAATATACCTTTAGCACCACCACCTTGTCAACAGCGCCACATCATGTGAGACAGTATCACGTCAGGAACTAGTTCTCATTTCATTTTGGGGATCACCATTGGACTACACACAACAGAACCACAGCATAAGGATTGTTTTTTTTTTAGATATACAGACGTTGCAGGGCAACTATGTCGACTTGAAAGTCACTTTTTTCACTTTTTTTTTTCAAATCATGTATGTGGGATACCTCTTGGATAAAGAAGGCAGCATGTATCACCAAGGACCTGTAAGACGATCGGGCATCAACATCCCACCACAGAACTTTGTTTCCACGCCACAATATTCCGACTTTACTGGATACCATCATGTGCCAAACATGGATACTCACGCACAGTCTTCGGGGGCTTGGGGAGCTCCTTATGTCGCACCGAGGGAGGACTGGGGCGCCTATAGTCTGGGGCCTCCTAACACTATTCCTACGCCCATGAACACCTCCTCGCCGGGACAAGTTTCCTATTGCTCACCTGAATACAATCCCATGCACGCGCCAGGGTCAGCAGTATTGCAACCACCTCCAGATAATATTTCTGTTGCTCAAGTTTCCCCGGATAGAGAAAGGCACAATTCTTCTTACCAGTGGATGAGCAAAACGGTACAATCATCTTCTACCGGTGAGAAAGGTCACAAGCAACTATATTGTGCCTCTACATGCATGCCACTGTTAAAATCATTCGTGCAATGAGCACAGCCTCAACTCATGCCAAACTACATATTCATATTGTCCTAAGAAGAGCCGGAATTGTTGTATTTTCTCTTGCGTAATTGTGCTGTGAAAACTGCTGGTGTTGGCTCATAAACTTGTGCAACAGGTAGTATATAGAGAATTGATACAATATAAACAATAATTGCATAATTTAATGATACATCTCACTGTAAAAGCGAATAACTTTATGCATAATACGTAATGAGTACATTTGGGTAAATTTGAGGTGATATTCGTAACGAATAGGAAGCACTGACATGACATTCCTTTTATCTGTAACTGTTCGTGGTCTCAAACGAATCATCTAATCATGTTTTAAATTAGATGTCACCAAAATTACACAGTAGCATGTGAAATGTTTGGAAATTGTTAATTCAGTTTGGTGTTAGGCTAATTTTGAAACATGTAAGATGCAACTTCAAGGCACTAAATTGTAAATTGCACCAGACTCAAAACAGAAGAGAAAATAGGAAAAGGATAGGAACTAGATCGAACGTATCAAATTCATTATTGACAATGCAACTGTAGGTCTACCATCGCGATAATGGTCTGATAAAGTATGATATTAATTAAAACATCTTAGTTATTTTCTGATACAGGCCTATAGCCTTGTGGAGGAAACGATGAACGTGTCAAGAAAGAGCGCCAGACGCTACTTGTAATGCTAATTTCTCTACTCCCGTCGACTAGATGCGAGGTCTACTTTTCCTGCTACATTGTCTCAGGTTTTGAGGGTTATCCGTCATATTCAGGTGGCGGCCCCTTTCAACACCTCGTTTTACTTTGATATGCACCAAAGTGTCTTCCTCGGCTCCCATTCTTCCAGTTATATTGCCGGAAAAGGTGACGTTTTTCACAGCAAATAAAGGTCTTTGACGAATATATACAAAGCTTTATAACTGGGCAATAAACCACAACATTTCTTAATTGTCTAGAAATGTGTAAAAAAAATAATAGAATTCGTTCACTGTGGACAATATTTATCAATTAAGCCACAGTAATTTATAAGCCTCAATTAACCCGTACATTTCGTTTATAGCCCCCCCATTTTTCTTATTAGGCAAACCTATCAAATGTGTTATCATGTGTTTAAAAAAAAAAATTCTAGGAGGCTCTCTCTGGCCCTGTAAAACTTATCAAGCATGACCTAGGCTATAACTATGGATATCAAAATGTTTCAATGTTGTTCAAAACGACTAATATTATTTTCTACCTAATAAAAGGTGCCGACGTGTTTATGGTTTATCAACAAGAGCAACCTGATCCGAGCTAGAGAAATGTCTGCCTTGTAAGTCCTTTATGTGTCGTGTGTTGCCTCTTAACACATCAATGGAGTTTAGCTAATATCTCTGAGACTCTTTGTTCTGCAGTTTGTTCAAAAAGTGACATCAAAAGAAGACCAGTGGCTCGATTAGCATAGCTACCAACAAAGCAACACAATCTAGATTAACACGATAGTCACCACTTCAGTTGATAGAGCCTAAAGACGTTTCATAAACATTTAGAGAGTTATTAGATAAGTGAAGCATCAAGTTTAATATGCGTTTTGATAAGTAGCCTGTTGATTATCCTACCTCTCTAGTATTACTTGCTATAAATACTCAAAATTACTAATTTAAAGGGGAATTTAAAACAAGATTTCACTTTAGAGATTAAATAGCCTATTGCCCCCTGTATTTATCAATCATTCGAATACCATGAAATTGCATCGTTGCTTTGCATCATATTCGTTGTTCATTGTGACGGATATTTTAAAATTAGGCCTACGAAGCATAGCCTATTGAATTCTCTGAATTTCTCACAATTTCAGGCAAAACAAGAACGAAGGAGAAATACAGAGTGGTTTACACCGATCACCAGAGACTGGAACTGGAGAAGGAATTCCATTTTAATCGTTACATCACTATCAGAAGAAAGTCAGAACTTGCGGGGAACCTTGGCCTTTCAGAACGACAGGTAAACCAATTAATTGATAGAGCATTAGGGCCCTAGACTTGACAAATCAAATGATAACGAATAGCCATTTTGACAAGTTTTTATTATACATTTACAGGTGAAGATCTGGTTTCAAAATCGCAGAGCCAAGGAGAGGAAATTAATCAAAAAGAAAATGGGATCTGATTGCAGCGGAGGATCAGTGCACAGTGACCCCGGTTCAGTGAGTCCTCTGCGGATACCAGCTTCACTCAGTCCGTCGGATATTCACGGCTCTCTCTACCCACCCCCCGGAAGGAACACCATGCCATCTATTAGGAACATACAGCAAGCTACTGTCACTCAGTAGAATCGAATTTAGACCATCCAACATAACTGAGCACTCCAACACGCTGAAAGGACAGTTCCTCAAGACTTGGATCCCAATGGATTATTCAAACGTCCTGAAGCACATGTTGTGGATTAGGATATTTCGAGAAACAAGATGATTTATAATTGCAACGAAATGCTGGAGGCTCTTGAAATATTGTTTTTATAGAATAGTTCTAATAATAAAAATAAAAAAACGTACAAAAATCAACATATGTTTCAGACATGTAATGCTTAAATTGTTTATTTGTGTCTGAGTTATTGAGATATAAATATAATTTTCTGTAGAATGTGTAATGAAGTGTATAAGTGTTTGTAAATAAATAAAACAAATCAGGTACATTTTATTTGAAGTTTATCTGGACGGAAAAGGGATATTATTCATTTGGAGCTTCTATAATGGCTTGACAAAATCTATGCATTTTCTGCTCCAATTTGATCGCAAAGCACACTTCCGTAACTTTTTTCTACAGGGACAAGTGAATCAGGTTTTAAGAGTGATACGGGTAGAACGTTTGTTTGATGGCAATGTTCAAAATGTAAATAAAATGTGTTTTAACGTTACCTTTTTCTCCTTATTTCATTGACTGGAAAAGGATAGCTCAATTTTGCAAAATAACCAGACTGTGTGTGCATACTGTTTTCAAACACACTTCATTGCTCTTATTATTTGATACCTATAACCACAAACAACATTAGATCAGTTTATCAACCTTCTATTTCGTTTTCAAACTATTAGGATGGGATTCTGTCAGCCCAGCACGTGTCAAACACAATATTTGATTGTTGATGTGTTGATGTGTGTCAAACTGTCTTCTCAATTCATGTTGACCTTTGAGCCATTATGATGGAATATAGACTACCCACTGGGCACAGACGTCAATTCTACGTCTATTCCATGTCGGTTCAACGTAATCGGGCCGGGATGGGCTGGTCTACGGGCCGGAATGGGCTGCATAGATTGGATAGATTACAATCATGAACCTGTAAAAAGGTCACCCAAGACTGTCATTAAACATTAACATCCTCATAGCATAGCCTAGGCCTATTCCAAAAACTTGCAAGAGATCTGTATAGAAGTGCTGCACAACCTCAACAAACCTGTTGGACAGAGGTAAATGTAGTCGTCCACAAAGACAAATCCAGTATTTTACAGGCTACTCTCTAGGCATTATGGTTTTTCTTCAGAAAACACAAAAACCTTTATAAATTGGTAAGAAGGTGTTGGAGACATTGTAGCCTAGGCCAAAATGTGAATTTTCATAAACTAATTGTGGATTATTGTTGTATGACACTTGGATGATGACTTGTAGGCCCTAATCCTTCATCGAATATGGGTAAATGAACCCTCAATCAGAGGATAAACCTATACGTTACAGGGGCAATAATCAATTTCCATGAAATACTATAAACAATTGAGTGTGTAGCCTACAGTTATAGCTGTGTAATGTATTAGCTAGGGAAGCCTATTTTATCGTATTCTTCCAAATAATAACTTGATCTGATATTACGTTATATCTCTCACTTTTGCACACAGATTTACAGCACTCCAACTGAGAGCTTCCGAGGCTGTTTGTGCGCATGCTGCGTTCAAAACAACGAGGAACTGGGAAGTCAGAAATCTCTGACTTCAGTGCCTTCATGACAACTGGGAACTCGGGGAAAAAAACTAGCTTTGACTGGAAAAAATCGTTTTGAACGGTCAATCAATTTAGAATTCCAAGTCGGAAACTCGGGCATCTTTATAGAGCTCTGACTTTCCAACCTGAAGATCTCTGGGTTCATGTTTTACCTAGATTTTTTTCCCGAGTTCCCAGTTGTCTTGAAAGCACCATGAACATAGCTTGTTGATGTCATGAGCCTCTTACAACCGAACATGGCGGACTTTGATACGATCTATGAGTTAGACGAGGAAGATGAACGTGTAGTGAGTGAAGAACACCTTGTAAGATATTGCCCAGAACCTGTGATTATGCGAGGGGCCGGGCACATCACTGTGTAAGCAATTCAATGCTACTGTTAGCGCTGTCATCATAATCCGTTATGTTGTCCTGCCTCATAAACTAGCTTGCTAGCTAGCTAGCCTGCTAACAACAATGAAATATGAAGTACAACTTACTAGCTAGGGCAGTGGCAATAACGGTCAGTTAGCTGTCTGGTCCTGTCGTAGGACAAAACTGTTACCTTTGCCTTCATTGACGAGGCTAGGGTTATCTATTGCGTACCTGCTATTCCTGCTTTATAGTTTACTAGCTAGCTAACGTTAGCAACACTGGTTTCCTGCTAACTAGCCTGACATGAGAAGGCATCTGCTATAACAAAAATGACAAGCCAGCAAACTAACATTAATTGCATGACATTCAATAAGTAGCTATAGCTAGCTACTGTAGTGAATATTTTGACAGCAGCTGACTTATTCAAATGGTGGTGATGAATCAAGCATATTACTTCAAGCAAGCTTGCTAGCTACCATCCGTAGCCTAACAGTCTGTTTACTGGTTTATAGTTCTCTGCTTACCAGCAATGGACACAACACCTATTACCTTTCCAAATGATGACATAATAATAGTTACATATACTTCCTCTAGTGTCCACAACTGCATTATTCATATGATGTATCCTTGTCATCCAATTGAATTGTCTCGACAGGGGAAGCTATTCACATAATGAAACAAATGACAGGTTATTCAGGACATTCATTTGTTTATTTCTGCTGTCTGTAGACATTGTAAAGTGTTAGGCACAAGGTCTACATTTTTATAGGTATGTATTTGTTGAGGGTACAAAGTGTCTAATTCCATCCCCATAAAAAAACATTGCTAGGTTTCCCTTATGACAGCCCACAGTCATGGTGAAGTACTTTATACATGTTCAATGGAACGTTTTTCATTAATTTACCATTTGTATTTTTCTTTTTGACAGGTTTGGATTGAGCAACAAATTTGACACCGAGTTTCCCTCAGTTCTCACGGGAAAGGTACAGTAGCCCAATTCATTAGTATCTTCTTATGCACTTTACCAAAGCAATGTCTTGTGCTAGGCTTTCCAACTGATTTAAACTGGTGTGTGAATCAAGCAATTTAAGCTATTATGGTGGCTCTATTGTTCTATTTGCCCTTTGACAAATCAGACCATCCCTGAATTACCTCTTTCAAGTCTCTTGAGTGGCTTCTATCTGATGCTGATGCATTTCAAGCAACACACCACAGTGCGTCCAAAGCTGAAGTGAAGCTCTGTCAATGAGTAAGCTGTCTTTGGAGCCCAGTTGGTCAGGGGCACAGTGTTTGGGAGGACACAGCTCCAGGTGATAAAATAATGGAATAAAGACTGTGCCATACACAAGAAAGGGCAGCTTCCTGGGTCGGACGCTGCAACACAAAAAGGCTGAAGGGGTAAGAGCAGGCCGAGGGAAGTGCAGGGCAATAAAAAGTCCCTCCAGTATTGTGATGTGATGGAAGAGGTCACAATTATGATGATTGAAGGGTGCAGATCAGCAGGCCCTTATTCTAAGGTCTTTTGCTGTTTGCAAAGAGACCTTTGCATCCTGTCATAAAATATTACGACCCCGGTTTTATGGCGTACAGACCCAGAGAGGAATGAGCATCCATTCATGTTGTTTGGACGGCCACTGCCACAGGCACTGAGCTTATCTCTCCCTTTAGTCCCTCTCTGCCGTGAATAGACAAGAGCTTGGTTAGCAAGTTACAGCCGTACTAGTGAGAGATCTCATCTGATCTCTGGAAAGCATCTCCAAATATCTAGGCCACCTGTTTGTTTTCTAAGCCTCTTTGATTCTACTGACTACAGTACAGGTTTTTCTTTAAACAATTGGTGCCATTTTTCACTTCAGTCAGTACACTAGACCAGAGCAAGTGAATGGTTGCAGTTCTCATACTTTCCCTTTCAGATGTTTGTTTTTGCTTACTGCTGCAGATGAAAAACTATTTTAAGCGCAAAATGTTTGATAATAATTAAGAATCTGATTTGTCACAGAGAGAGAATTACCAATAATAAAGTAAAAGCTACATAAATTACAACCACATTCTTTCCTCTCTCTGACTTCCTGTCCATTTCTTCCTCCCTTCTCCCCCTTCTTTTCCAGGTGGCTCCAGAGGAGTTTAAAACCAGCATCAGCAGAGTGAACGCTTGCTTGAAGAAGACGTTGCCTGTCAATGTGAAGTGGCTTCTTTGCGGCTGCCTGTGCTGTTGCTGTACGGTGGGCTTCAGTCTGTGGCCCGTTATATGCCTCAACAAGAGAGTAAGTCTCAATCAGCTCTCGCGTGATGTGTGCTGCACAGTCCCACTCTACCTAAATCAGCACGTCCACTCATTACTCATGGACTAGTTTAGCAATCAACCGTATTGGTCTTAAGCGGGGAACCTGTGTGCAATTAGGGTCTGTGTATAAAAATGATACATTGCACCACTGGAGGCCAGTCCAGCTGAAGGGTACAACACTGAAAGGTGGTGCCCCAACCCAGTGTTATTGACAACAAAGTGGAAATTACAAGCTGGTAAAAGTAGGAGTTCAGTCCACGAATGGATCTTTGTCATAATACTGAGGTTGCGGTTGTCATTTGTAAAAGAGTGTGAAGTCGAGGTCATTACTAGAAAATATTTGAATATTGCATGTGCATATGTGCTCTTTTCCCAACAGGCGAGAATATCTATTCAGAAGTTGTTAGAATGGGAAAACAACCAATTATATCACAAGGTAAGAACAAATTGCATATTAGAACCTGTCTGAAAGACCAAGTTATGTCAGTTGTGAAGGGTTGAGCGATGTTAAAGTAGCAGGTTTCTGATGGATAATGGTCTTTAACTCATTATGTAAACTTTAACCCTTAAAAACGAATTTACCTCAAAGCTATTTTTGTCTGATCTGTGATCTAGTGGACAGGGGCTGACCAGACCTAAAGGTCAGCAGTAAAAGCCATGTTAATTTAGTTTTGTCTGGGAACAATGAGTGACAGCTAGTAACTGAGAATAATAATGGAAGCTCTTCAGGGTGTCTGGCCACTACCTGACCCCAACCAGACATGGTTTGAAGCGTTCCTAAATTCCCCTCACACTCAGATTTCCTAACCAGACGGGATGTGGGTGTCTGTGCGTGTGTGTGCGGTGCTATGTCTGTCCTCACTTTCACCTCTTCTCTTTAGCTGGGCCTGCACTGGAAACTCAGCAAAAGGAAATGTGAAAGTAGCAATATGATGGAATACGTAAGTATAACGCATTCATGCTCCCCTAAAACAGAATATGATTCTTGCCAATTTATTGAGTGTTACAAACTCAAATCACAACAGAGCCTAAATATATGGGCATGAAGCCATAGAACAGTGCCTACTGGAAATATTCAATGCTGAAAGAAAAGTGTAAAATGAAATAAAATAACTTCTCTCTCCACAGGTAATTCTTATAGAATTCTTACCCAAATATCCTATATTCCGACCGGACTGAGCTGAGGAGGCTGTTGGGAGACCTGCAGTGTGGCCCTTGACTCCTATCCTTAGTGCCTTGTATAAATGTTGGAATGAGGGTCTGCACCGGTGTCTCGAGATGTCCCTTACATCTCCCACTACCTTGTACATTAGAAATTGCAACACTGTCACTTTGCTTTAGAGCAGATTTTGCACATTTCCTGACGAAGTAAAAAAAATGCTCCCTTTGTTGCACACTAATACTTTGTTTTTGTTACGTATATGACAACTAGTGATTGAAAAAATAACACTGTTGAAAATTGCATTTAGCCCTAAGAGCCATCATCAATTGAGCCCATGTATCATATCATTATAGCTTTGGAAAAAAATGTGACAGCTCCTAGAGCAGGGGTGTCAAACATACGACCCGCGGGCCGGAGCCCATTCAATCCGGCCCGCGGGTGGTAAAAAAAATACATTGTGGGAATTATCATTTTTGGGACATTTGAAATGAGGAAAAACAAATCGAAACTGTAGAAATGATAATGGACCTACATTTATAGTCTCTTCACTCTGTCCAGCTTTCTAACAGTCATCGAAACGAAAGCTAGACAGTCAGAGAGCATTGAAACAATTTTTTGCAGATTTTGACGGCAAGAAAATATAATACATTTTAAGTGCGACCATCCCGACCTCGGTGAAGAGCGAATGCGGCCCGCAAACCATTTTATATATAAGACAGGAGGAGACAAGCATTTTGTAGCTCAGGAAGTTCAAATGCTGGTTATTGGGGTTACTTTCCTCAAATCAATTTGTCTTTGTAACAAAAAGTAGATGGGATGCTTGAATTTGCCAAACATACGATCTAAGTCAGCATCATGTTTTTTTTATTCATTTCGGAAATGACCCTCTGTACAGGGGAACTTAAAAAAACGAACCTGTAAATATGTTATAATAAACTGTAGGCCTACAGTGGTATGCTGTTGTTTACATTGTTGTTTAGATCTTTGATTTGTTTTGCCAAGATAATGCTGCACCATAGTTTTGTTTATGAAAGATGTCTCTTTCCAGTTTATATGGACCTGTTTACCTAGTAAGCCATATAATTTACAATGTATGTGATGCCAGAGTTAGGATTGAAAATTGCACTTGAGCTCATCAATGTCAGGATTTCAGAGGATGGTCAAACTGAAGTTTTTAATAATTTTACAATGACACTAGTGATGCATGTTATTTGTGTGATTTTGCCAACTAAGGAGGAGAAGTAAAAAACAAAAACAAAAGTGTCATCCATTTCAACGTGAGATGGCTACTTGTCTTTATGATGTACTGTTGGAAACAGACTCCAACTTGGCACCTCCATGTCTCTTTTGTTTTTTGTCAAACTTTTTATTGCAACTTTGTCTTTGTGTTCATTTTCTAGTTTTGTATTTTCCTATACGATGTTTTGTCTTTGTGTTAGTTGTTAAAAACCACGTACAGCCTACAGTACATGACATATTGAGATAAATGTTTCCTTTGTTATTCATTTTGTCCAGAGTTAGTTGTCTCCTTCACTTGTAGCTGAGAGTTTTGCTGCATTATAGTGCCTCTGGAATGGTAGATGAACTGCAGTCAGAGAAGTGGTGTGGTTGTGAAGACTGACATCTGCTCACTCGAATTGTGGAGAGCCCTGACCCTCCTCCCAGTATTGGCCCTGTTACAGAGTACTTGTAAATGTTTGTCATGACAACTCAATCCCTATGGAAAGCTCAAATAAATGGTTGATTTAGAATCTTTGAGTCTTTAAGTTTGTCCATCTGTGCAACTGAAAACCACAAGCTGACATTAACTGATGACATGCTTACCTTACTGCCATATGGTAAATTACTCAGTATCATCTAAGTTATACAGGTCATTTTAATTGACGTGGTAATGTCTTTGGCCAGAGCCTGCTACTGATACCTGGCTATTTGTCATGTTTAACAAGGTGTTGAATCGTTAACTTAACAAGATGGCCTGTAATTACTTGACACATTTGTAAAACTCTGGAATACTATTACCATAAATAGCTAGCACTTTCACGACATGGAACTGTGGCCCCTGAGTTTGTGGCCAAAATCAAATAGGTTACTATATCACAACCCCCATACATACACTGGAGTGGTGGGCTTCATTGTAATGAGTAGAGGGTTGTTTTATAGACCCCTTTGTTCTTGGATTTATTGCTCACATTGTCCCGTTGGAGTTGGGATGAGGAAAGAAGGTCTAGAGTAGGGGTACTAAACTCTTACACTACGAGGTCCGGAGCCTGCTGGTTTTCTGTTCTACCTGACAATTAATTGCACACACCTGGTGTCCCAGGTCTAAATCAGTCCCTAATTACAGGAGAACAATGAAAAAATGCAGTGGAACTGGCTTCGAGGTCCGAGTTGAGTTTGAGGGGTAGTGGATCAAGAGAGGTTGCCTTTCTTCACTTCACTACACCTAATGTGTCAAGCACCCCTCCAATCTAATGGAGTACCACACTTTGGGTTGTGTGACTTGTAGTGCCCTTTCCAAAAGCCTAATATTATTGGGGGGATTTAGTTTAGACATTTTGTGACAATGCAGAGAGGTGGAGATGGGTGGCTGGGTCTCTTCCTCCGTCCTCCAGAGGGCAGACTGACACACCATGAGAGGAGATGAGCTGAGCTATGAGTGTGTAGTAGTGTACAGCAGGTCTAACCATTTTGTATTCATGCCATGTCTCTGCTAAATTGTCTTTTTGAATAAAATCTGACCCTTAAAGCTACATTTCCAAATTTCCTGATCGCAGAATGAGAAGAAGAAGCAAGGTCCAATATTCCCCCGCAAACATAATTTCAATGCTTTGAAAGTATCACATATTGAGTGTTGAAGTTAATTGAGTGTACTTGCAATCACATCATTATGTAACAAATGTATCACATTACTTGTGGGCAAATAGATGTATTCTGCTATGGTCCAGCGACATCATCTAACCAAGCATGATGGCCTAAACTCAAACGATTGCATTTTAGGTTTTGGGTCGTTCTTGAGTTGCGTTGGCATTTGGAAATGCTTTTTTTTATTTAAATGTATTTGGGAAATCTAACCATTCTAAATCAACTAATAGGCCAGCTTAATGACTTTAATTAATTTTTACCATTATAATAACATTGTACCACCAGTAGGAGTAGTAACACCAATTATACATTTTAGGTGATTAAGGATGTTCTTAAATGGAGGCCACAGATGCTCAAATCTAAGGTAATTAACCCTTTAAAAATAATTTACTAAAGTGATATGATTAATAATTTAGCACACAATGTCATTTCCCTTCATTTAAATTGACTAACACCAAGTGACACTGGATTTAGAGTCCTCAAATGTATGACATACTGAAAGGGTGTGATTAGCTAATAATTGTTTTTATAGACCCCTCCCCCGATTACAGTTTGCCACTGGAGGGAATGCTCAAGGTCCTTGTAATGAGTGACTTTCAAGGCGCTAACACCAATGACATAACACTGAAGGACATACATATTAGAATTAATAGCCTTCTGTTTTTATTGATCTATAGAATATATTAAATACTTGCATTATGTTTTATCATTGAAAAACAGTTCAATATAATCAAACTTATATAAATATACGTTTTTGTCATTTTAAAGTGTTTTTCATGGTTGAAAAGACAAAGGACGCAATAGCCCAATATGTACTCTTAAGGAGCCTAGCGTTACTCCTCAAGGTCCAAAGACCTTATTGGTTATATTCAGAGGTAGACGGGCTTTGGCAGCCAAAACTAAATCTAAATGTGACTCGATTACACACAGGTGTTCAGAGCACGCTAGATAGCTAATTAGCACGTGGTCCCCCTGTCTTCGGTTAACAAACACTGTAACATGGAGATATGGCCGTGTTTTAACACTAACCCTATCAAAGGTGTGTATCAATTGAACCTTTTGTTTAATTTACTTATTTAATGCTGATATGAAATTGTTCTTATGCTTTCAAAACCGTACCACAAGCGATGCGTGTTAATGTTCAGATGTTCAGAATGAGTGTCGGGGCTTTTTAACAACTCCCTCCTACAGAATACACCTTAGTCCAATGACTCTTATGTGTAATGTAATGGAAATAAGTCATGATCAAGGGCTAGGGACGCAAATGCCATCGCAATTCAAGAACTAAGGGAATAACTGTTTCTGCCGGTGTCTCTATTCTAGCACAACAGCTTTTTCTCAACACCCATAACTCCTAATGTTTTCATTACCACGTTGCAGTAATGATACAAAACAAGAGGCAACAAGTAGACATTTTTCATTGATCAATAACGATACTAATATAACCGTTTCTAACCAACCATGTCATTCCTTATATTTTTCACTGAGCTGAAATTGAGGCCTTGACCCTTGCTGGAGAGCCAGGGATGATTTAAAGCCAATGTCCTCTGTCCAGTGCTGCTTGCTCTGCGACTCCATCGTCCTGATTTACATTCTTCCTAAAGTTCTCCTGTGGCAACACGCCTGGCCCACTTACCCATCATGCCACTCCAGATGACTGATATCCCCCGCAGCCACAGTACAGCCAGAGGCCAGGGTACCAATAGTAAAGCAAGTCCCGTTGAGAGGATAGCACAACACAGGCCTGTGGAGGAATGGCCATGCAGGAATATACTTGTTTTTCTAAGTGCTGGACTTGAAAATGTATTCAATCCCATACTGTTATTGTTAAGCTCTTCTGGGATGCTGTAAGTGCTTTGTAAATATGATGCATAAAATACAAAAAGACACAGAACACAAATATATTATTGAGGTTTTAGAACATTACGAAACTGGGGATGATCCATTACACAATATATAATGCCTATATTTCCCTTAACTGAAATAGGAGCCCTCTGTATAGTTTCATATCACATTCTCAGGATTCAATGAGAGAGGCCTCTAGTGTTTTTATGACACCCCGAAAAGAACAGTAGAAGTTAATCTAAAGCTCCAACTAAGGCCAGCAGCTCTGGTCTCCTCCTGGCTCTTCCTGTGAACATTAGAACTACAATGTGCTGGATAACATTGAACAGATCCCCCCTCCACTTTCTCATTGGTAAGACAATTAGAGGTGGGAGCTTAAAGAACAAAGAACAATTTTTGGTTGTGGTAATTAAGGCAAGTGTTTGAACTTTGATCTGTCCTTTAACATGTACAAGGCACCCACATTAATCAAAGACATTTGGTATGAGGCATTGCACAGAAATTGAAGAGATGACTACAGTACAGTTAGGAACTAAATCATTCATAAAACCCAGAAGCCACTAGAATGTCCTTATATATGGATAAAACAACAGTATCTGTTAAAATCTAAATAATACAAAAATAAAAGGTAAAGGTGTTGGAGAGGATGGGTACATGTGACTGGCATCTTTCTACATAGTCAACGGTCACCCTTTCCTAATCAATTTGGTATAGTAAATCCATTTTCTTCATTAACTGTGAAATTATAAGGATATATTTCATAGCCTAAAATAGGCCCTTTTCACATGAAATTTGAGATCTACAAATATATCCCAGTTATGGATAATGCAAATAGGCCAGTAGCATTTTTCCAAATCATCATTAACAAATGGGTAAAAACAATCATTCCAAAACGGTAAAGATGCTTCCAGTTTACCTTGAAATATAGTTAACTGATTGTCAATTCATCTTCCACCCTGATTAGCCCGATTTGTTCACAATCACCTGCCCTTTTGAGTAACAACAACAATAATCAAAGCAGTGAACCAACTGAAATGTGTTATTCAGTCACACTAGTCAGCTAGGGCAATGTGCAAATTGACAATCTATATTACAATCCACATCAGAAGAGATCTAGTTAAAATAACAATACAACAAACCTTCCAAGAATGTCACCAATGAGATTCTAGGGTGTTGTGTGCAGAGATGACAAGAGACTCAGTGGAGACATGAGCTGAGCAGGGCAGGGTGTGTGTGTGTGTGTGTGTGTGTGTGAGTGTGTGTGTTGTGTGTGTGTGTGTATCTACACCAGGCTCCCCGGCCAGGACACCACAGTCAGTGTAACTTTATTCTTCTGCAGCTTGAGCATGGGTATGAGGGACGAGTTGTTCATGCCCACCGTGGTGGCTCCGTTCACAGCTACAATCTCATCACCACACCTGGAGACAACACAGAGGACGGGACAGTCAGTAAACATGGGGCAGAGATGGGCACAATACATGTAACACAATGACCTACCCGTCACCCTAATCAGTCTCCTAACAGCTGTGCAGTAAGGTCTAAATACAGTACAATGGACTTCTACAGGAGAATCACACATCTTATGTGCACTGGATACCAGGCTGGCTCCATCTCTGCAGTTTAATTAATGGTGAAAGCAGGTATTTCTGTTAAATCCTGTCCTTGGAGAGGCAGGCCTGCACAAAAAGGAGAAGGGTTGGGGTCAATTCCATTTCAATTCAGGAAGTATACTGAAATTCCAACTCCCTTCAATGCTTTTAACCTCTAGGCCATTCCGTTCGGACGCTACAGACGTTTTCGTGAGAAGACCGATTTTTTGGATATCTCATGGTCTGACAAACACCGCTGTACAGGTGCACAATGCAGACAGGCGGATACGGTGGATTGAGACGCAGCCCATGCAAAAACACATATCTCTAGCTTAAACAGAGGGATTGTGGTGGGGATTTTTGTATTATGTTACTTAGATTGACGTGTGCTTTTAAATGTGCAATATGCAGAATCGCTCTGCCATTTCCTGGTTGCAAAAATTGTAATAGTTCGCCTAATTTCAGTTTATGTGACAAAACAAGCAATCATTGTACCATCTAAACTGCTGTGCAATATATTTTCAATAAAAAAAGATGGTATTTTCAGCTGTTTGAAGCTGGTGTACATAACCGAAGGTAAAAGAAGCAAAAACGCAACTTAAGAACGGGAAGCATATAGAACAGAGCTACAGTGTCTTAGACTTGCTTTCAATGCGAATAACAGATCTATAACTACATTTCTATGTTGATTTGGTTGGATCGCCCAAAACGTTACATATTGCAGCTTTAAATGAGGAAAATTTGGTTTACTTTCTGAATTGACTGGAATTGAATTGGAATTGACCTCAACCTGAAAGGGAGTACATACCATACCTTATCAAATAACATTGCAGGCTTACAGAAACATAACCCCCCTCCTTACTACTCCTACACTACCCTTCACCTCTCTTCCATTTCACCCACACAGATAGTAACGACTCTTATTTTTTCACTCAGGTTTATTATTAGAAACTAGCATCGTCCATGTGAAGCAACTCACTTGAGGCGTCCGTCGAAGTGGGCGGGTGTACCAGGCACGATGGTCTTGATGAAGAAGGGCTGCTGTCCGTGGCTTTCTTCATAGCCACCCACAATGCTGAAGCCCCAGCTCTCCTGATTGGTCTTCAGCAACACGATGTTACGGCACCAGTGCATGTGACTGTAAGGAGGAGGAGGAGGAGAGGAAATGGACAAATTAGATCCTCAAAAGTGTCAGGGTGATTTCATAAGCACAAAATTAAGACTTCCATGTTTTAAATGGCCACCTGAAACAATTGATAGGGTACTTTTATTTCATAAGCACAAAATTAAGACTTCCATGTTTTAAATGGCCACCTGAAACAATTGATAGGGTACTTTTATTTCATAAGCACGAAATTAAGACTTCCATGTTTTAAATGGCCACCTGAAACAATTGATTGGGTACTTTTATTTCATAAACACGAAATTAAGACTTCCATGTTTTAAATGGCCACCTGAAACAATTGATAAGGTACTTTTATTTCATAAGCACGAAATTAAGACTTCCATGTTTTAAATGGCCACCTGAAACAATTGATAAGGTACTTTTCTTCACTCTGTACAGAACATTATCACTCATTATGACACAGATGGATGTGAACTGAAGGCATGCAAAGTTGAGATCATGCAAAGTTGAGGTGAGTTATTTTCCAAACCAATGATTAGAATGTGTTTACCTTGGCAGACCCAGCCAGTGGGTCCACAGCGGGGCCCAGTTGACATCATCCTCCCTTAGGTTCTCCACAGACTCCATTTCCTCTTTGGCGGCCTCCCCCTCCCCCTCGGGCTCCTCTGAGATGGTCTGGATGACCCTGAGGACTACCTGGGCGTGGGCCGTCTGGGCCTTCAGCACCGACACCGCCTCATTGTAGGTCAGCTGGGTCAGATCCACGCCGTTGATGCTCATCAGGACATCCCCTAGGCAACCGAAACCAGAACCATGTCAAGAGATGTAGCCTCTGCATGCAAAGCTGACCTTACATCAAAAGGTCTTCCGATTAAATGTGCAAGAGGTATGCATATTGTCTACCTCATCACTAACAGAATTATTCCCGTAGGCATTTAAATCTGAACATGAGCCATGCTACATGGGGTCAAGGTATGGAATGAAAACTGTCATGTGGTTGTAGGAAAGCATAGATCACAGGTGTACCCGTTTTGATAGTGCCGTCTCGGTGCAGGCAGCCGACAGGCTGGACACTGGTGATGTAGATGGGCAGGCGGCTGCGGCAGTCCCTCCCACCAGCGATGGTGATACCCAGGGAGAGCCTCGGTTCCTTCTTCAGACTCACCGTCTTCTCCTGGCTGGAGAAGCCCCCTGGAGGATCCTGGGAAACAACAGGAAGAACCCTTCATTTGCTTTACATTCATGAGGTGCATACAGTAGTCCATTCAGATTGACTTCCTGTTCTTAAGATCAATACTACTTCATAATAATTATTTCTGGCCAACAGAGAAGACTGGCGTCAAAGAAAACGTGCACAATTTTCCTGACTCTGCATCCCTTCTGGGCTGTGCCGCCCATCATCTTCCCCTCTCCATTTTCTACAAGTGAGATGGGTCTTTTGACTTAATTGATTCCTCGTGAAACCGCTTGTCCAAACCAATGTGAGGCAGCATTTCAGATGCAGCTGCGGACTCAAACCCAGAGGTAATGTGCAAGGATCGACAATTGGCTCTCGTAGCGGAGCACAGGTGTCAAAATCCACGGCTCCTGCCAGCTTCCTTGTTTCTCTCTCTCTCGCTCTCTCTGGAGTCTGTAAACCTTCAGAGGGGACTGGGGGAGGGGAGGAGGGGAGGGGAGGAGGAGAGCCCTCCCTCTTCCTCCCCCCAGCAGGGAACCGTCCCCCCCAACAACACTCAAAGCCTGGGCTCTGCAGGTGAAAGCTAACTGTCAACAGCTTTGATCCTCTGCCACCCAAAGCAACAAACAAACAAAACGTGGTAGTGGCCCCACAGCGGCAGAGTGAGGCAGCACCCTGGGCCTTTTGATCTGGAGTGAGCAGGCCCCAGAGAAGGGCTTTCATCTCTGGACCAGGGACACAGGCGTCTGTCTGCTCCCAAGGCCCCTTTCACCTCTGTCTGAGTGAGGAGGGCTTCTGTGGAAGTGCTAGGTAGTCTGGACTGGTGACAGAGGGCTGGGATGGGACTGTGGTGCCATGATTACCTTTACATTATGTAAACATGACAGGCTCTTAGGATCATGTGTGTACACACTAACTGACACTAGCATACACAATACTAACCGAGATATACAGCAGTTTGTAGTACAGTGATTTGTAAGTTCTAAACATCGGGGGAGGAGACTGTTTACCTTCATGTAGGTGGAGGGGCGTCTGAAGTACTGGGGTTCTGGAGCCCTCCTGGCCACTCGGCCCTGCCCCTCTCCCCCGCTGCCCCCCTCCTCCTGGGGCTGCGGCTGCCTCATCACCACAAAGTTCACCCGCACCTCACTGGCCTGCAGACACACACATTATATACACATATAGATCAGGCCTCACATTCATTACACAGCCAGCAAATCAATCCTGGGAACCTCTGCTAACATGAAAGTCAATGTTTCCTTAAGGGATTATAATGAATCCTATTTCCATTCTTTGGTCTCCATCAAATAGCCGTGCTGTAACTTGTCAACATAAGACATACCTGTATGATCTGTGCAGCGCTCTCTGGGGTGCCGTGTCTCAGGTCTTGCCCGTTGATGGCCAGCACCTTGTCATTGTTGCATAGTTTCCCGTCCTTGGCCGCCAGCCCCCCCGCCAGCAGGTCCAGAATGAAGATCCCTGTCTCGTCCGACTTGCGGATCAGTTTGATACCTAGCGGGTCCGAGCGGTCCCTCTTCACCAGCGTCACCTGGATCACCGTGCCCTGGCTGTGGGCAGTGCTGTGGGGACTGTGAGAGGGAGGGGAGGTGGTGGGTGTGATGGGGGAGGGGGGCGGGTGGTGCTCGAGACCAGGGCGTTGTGGGTGACGGGGGTTGAAGCCCTTCTCCTGCGTGACGATGAGTCTGAGCAAGGGACATGGCCGCCGCAGCATGGAGATGGCCCAGCCGTGTGGGATAGAGGCTAGGCTGATGCCATTCACCTAGAAAACACAACACCACATGGTCAGTAACACTGTCACTGATACAGCAGCCCTCTGAAACACTGCAGGTGGACTAAATATACAAAGTATCAACAGCTGTGGGAAGTGACTGGTCCCTGCGCTGATGTATAGTGGAAATAAAATACTTTTTTCCTCTTCAAGATATAATTCAAATCCAATCAAATGTTATTTGTCACATGCTTTGTAAAAACAACAGGTGTATGCTATGAGTGAAATGCTTACTTACGGGCCCTTCCCAACAATGCAGAGAGAGAGAAAAAAAATGTATACAAATAATAACACAAGGAAAAAATACACAATGAGTAATGATGACTTGGCTATATACACGGGGTACCAGTACCGCGTCGATGTGCAGGGGTACGAGGTAATTGAGGTAGATATGTACATATAAGTAGGGATAAAGTGACTAGGCAACAGGATAGATAATAAACAGTAGCAGCAGCGTATGTGATGAGTCAAAAGCGTTAGTGCAAAAAGGGTCAATGCAGATAGTCCGGGTAGCTATTTGGTTAACTATTTAGCAGTCTTATGGTTTGGGGGTAGAAGCTGTTCAGGGTCCTGTTGGTTCCAGACTTGGTACATCGTTACTGCTTGCTGTGCAGTAGCAGAGAGAACAATCTATGACTTCGGTGGCTGGAGTCTTTGACCATTTTTAGGGCCTTCCTCTTACACCGCCTGGTATAGAGGTCCTGGATGGCAGGGAGCTCGGCCCCAGTGATGTACTGGGCCATACACACTACCCTCTGTAGCGCCTTATGGTCGGATACCAAGCAGTTGCCATACAGGAGGGGACACAGCACGCACCCCTGAGGGGCCCCATGTTAAGGATCAGCGTGGCAGATGTGTTGTTGCCTACCCTCACCATCTGGGGGCGGCCCGTCAGGAAGTCCAGGATCCAGTTGCAGAGGGAGGTGTTTAATCCCAGGGTCCATAGCTTAGTGATGAGCTTGGAGGGCACTATGGTGTTGAACGCTGAGCTGTAGTCAATTAACAGCATTCTTTTAGAGGACTTCCTCTTGGCCACAGAGACAATTTTTGCTGTTTTAAAGCTAATTATCTGCAATTCTACACATTTTGCCATGGGGCAGAGAGAACATTTAACAGTTTTAATGCTAGTTTCTTGCAATTCTACACTTGGGGCTGAGATAAAAATGTCTGTTTCAAAGCTAATTTTCAGCAATTTTCCACATTTTGCCATGGCTTATGCTATCTGAGACACTCAAACATTATAACAAAATCAATGGGGACCCCATGCCATGCCATTTTTAGAACTTTAGATTATCCCTGTCTAGTTTTTATTTAGGCGATTGTAAATTCTCCAATATGTTCTTGTAAAAACTATATTGCTCTATTATATTTTCTACATACTTTATATCTGGTTTCAGTCATTTAAATTTACACTGAAAACGTTTTACCATCCCGAAAATTATTATTAAAACTAAAACAAAAAAAACATTTATTTTAGTTTGTAAAAATGTTTTGCAGTGGCGGCCACGATTTAGCAGTGGCAGTGCGCCGCTGCTAAATGCATATAGGGGAAACACTTATCTTTGGCATGTCTAGTCAAAAACCGCAGGTACCTCGATTCATGTTGGTTGATGGATTGTATTGAGGCATTGTACCGACCTCCGGTAGAATAGACGTACAAAATAATTTTTGAGCAATTCCAGCTTTACAAACATTTTAGTCATTTAGCAGACGCTCTTATCCAGAGCAACTTACAGTTAGTGAGTGCATACATTTTCATACTGGCCCCCCGTGGGAATCAAACCCACAACCCTGGCGTTGCAAGCGCCATGGTCTACCAACTGAGCCCTTCTTAAAATCAATGGATCAACTCAAGGGGAAGAGAGAGATTCAATTGCAACAAATTAGGAACGCAATCTCTGCTCCTTCACACATACAGTATCTCTTTATAGCCACTAGCCGTCCACAAAAGAGCCAAAAAGTGAGGGGTTATATTACTGCTCCCGAGGCAGCCAGTGAGGTTAGATGAGAGGTGTTTTCATTCCAAATTCCACATTTTTGATTGGTCAGCCCCGAGGAAGAGATGGGCTCAGGCATTGTCCTGCACCCCTGCCAGAGTAGAGAGTGAACTGGTCCGTCAGCTCAGTTTACTGTGGCACCGTCACATTCCAGGACAGCCGTGGGAGGAGAAATCCAAGGAGGAGAGAGGGAGCAAGATCGTGGGAAGAAAGGAAGCTGCATCTTTGTGAAACACCCTTAGACATACTATCTCTGTTCCCTAGATCTACCCTCTGGATGGAAACCAGGTGAATGCATTGTATATTGTTTACATCTGTTTTGAAATAGTTCAGGATCTACTCTCCACAATGTATCACTTTGAATAAACCCTTAACATTTTGATAGGTCACATTACTCTACCAACTAGTGTCCACCGTCATTTGTTGACACAAACAAAAGGCAAAATGTTTTCGAAATTTCTACAAGTTAATAAACAATGAAAAGCTGAAATGTCTTGAGTCAATAATTTTTCGAAATTTCTACAAGTTAATAAACAATGAAAAGCTGAAATGTCTTGAGTCAATAATTATTCAACCCCTTTATTATGGCAGGGCTAAATAAGTTCAGGAGTAAAAATGTTCTTAACAAGTCACATATTAGGTTACATGGACTCACTCTGTGTGCAATAATAGTGTTTAACAAGATTTCTGAATGATTACCTCATCTCTGTACCCCACACATACAATTATCTGTAAGGTCCCACAGTCGAGCAAAGAATTTCAAACACAGATTCAACCACAAAGACCAGGGAGGTTTTCCAAAGCCTCGCAAAGAAGGGAACCTATTGGTAGATGGGTAAACATTTTAAAAGCAGACACTGAATATCCCTTTGAGCATGGTGAAGTTAATAATTACACTTTAGATGGTGTATCAATATACCCAGTCACTACAAAGATACAGGCATCCTTTAACCACAAGGCCAATGGTGACTTTAAAACAGTTACAGAGTTTAATGAAAAACTGAGGATGGATCAACAACATTGTATGTAGTTACTCCACAGTACTAACCTAATTGACAGTGAAAAGAAGGAAGCCTGCACAGAATAAATATTCCAAAACAAGCATCCTGTTTGCAACGAGGCACTAAAGTAATACTGCATAAAGCTATTAATCGTTAAGGACTGGGGAGTTTTTCAGGATAAGAAAGAAACCTAAAGGAAATCCTAGAGGACAAATCTGGTTCAGTCTGCTTTCCACCAGACACTGGGAAATGAATTCACCTTTCAGCAGGACAATAACCTAAAACACAAGGCCAAATCTACACTGGAGTTGCATACCAAGAAGACAGTGAATGTTCCTGAGTGGCTGACCTAAATCTACTTGAAAATCTATGGCAAGACCTAAAAATGGTTGTCTAGCAACAGATCTTGAAGAATTTCGAAAAGAATAATGGGCAAATGTTGTACAATCTAGGGGTGTAAAGCTCTTAGAGACTTACCCAGAAAGACTCACAGCTGTAATCACTGCCAAAGGTGCTTTTAAAAAGTATTGACCCAGGGTTGTGAATACTTACACTACCAGTCAAAGGTTTGGACACACCTACTCATTCAAGGGTTTTTCTTACAGAATAATACAGAAAACATCAAAACTATGAAATAACACATATGGAATCATGTAGTAACCAAACAAGTGCTAAATAAATCAAAATATATTTTATATTTGAGATTCTTCAAATAGCCACCCTTTGCCTTGATGACAGCTTTGCACACTCTTGGCATTCTCTCAACCAGCTTCATGAAGTAGTCACCTGGAATGCATTTCAATTAACAGGCGTGCCTTCTTAGAAGTTAATTTGTGGAATTTCTTTCCTTCTTAATGCGTTTGAGCCAATCAGTTGTGTTGTGACAAGGTGTGCGGGGGGGGGGGGGTATACAGAAGATAGCCTCTTAACAGCTTTTACCCCCAAGCCATAAGACTCCTGAACAGCTAATCATGGCTACCCGGACTATTTGCATTGTCCCCCCCACCCCACCCCCTCTTTTACGCTGCTGCTGCTCTGTTTATTATCTATGCATAGTCACTTTAACTCTACTCTATGTACATATTACCTCAATTACCTTGACTAACCGGTGCCCCCGCACATTGACTCTGTACCGGTACCCCCTGTATCACGCCCTGGCTCTGGGGACTCTCGTATGTTGAGCCAGGGTGTTTATTTTGTTTAGGTTCTAGTCGTTGTCTATCTATGTTGGCCTGAGTGACTCCCAATCAGAGGCAACGAGTGTCAGCTGGTTGTCTCTGATTGGGAGCCATATTTAACTGTCTGTCTTTCACTTTGTGTTTGTGGTTTCTTGTTCGTGTTTAAACCATAGACGTCACGTTTTTCGTTTTGATCGTGTGATCATTAAATAAATATAAATATGTTCACCTGCAACGCTGCGCCTTGGTCTCTCCCTGACGATCGTGACAGAAGAAACCACCAGAACTGGACCAAGCAGCCTAGTGAGGAGCAGAGTGGGTGGACTTGGCAACAGTGGAGGCAGAGCTTCGACTGGGTCAAGCCGAATGAGGAGCTGAATGGCGGAGATTGGAAGCAGAAGAGCGAGAGTTGGGCGAGAATTATCGAGGCCTGGCCCACGGGGAGGAGAGACTCCCAGAACATTTTTAGGGGGGGGCTCACGACGTCGGACCAGCAGGAGGCCGCGATAGAGCGGCCCAGCGGGTTGCCAGAGGAGGCCGCCAGGTTACGGGGGCCACTGGTCGAAGAGGGGATGGAGGATGTAGAGGCACGGCGAGAGGTACTGGCGTGTGTTGCCAGTCCGGTCCGGCCCGTTCCAGATCCCGGTGTAGGGCCAGTGGTGCGCGTCGCCAGCCCAGTCCGGCCCATTCCTGCTCCCCGCACCAAGTCTGTGGTGCGTTTCGTCAGCCCTGTCCGGCCCGTTCCTGCTCCCCGCACCAAGTCAGGGGTGCGCTTCGTCAGCCCGGTCCGGTCCATTCCTGCTCCCCGCACCAAGAAAGTGGTGCGCTTCGTCAGCCCGGCTCGGCCCGTTCCTGCTCCCCGCACCAAGTCAGTGGTGTGCTTCGTCAGCCCAGTCCGGCCTGTCCCTGCTCCACGCACCAAGCCTACGGTGTGCGTCGTCAGCCTGGTAAGGCCCGTTCCTCCTCCACGCACCAAGCCAGGGGTGCGCGTCGTCAGTCCAGCACAACCCGTGCCTGGGTCATGTCCGGAGCCGGATCCGCCGCCGAGGCGGAGTGCCCACCCGTCCCTCCCCTGTTGTGGTTGGTTGGCTCGGTCGGAGTCCGCGCCTTTGGGGGGGGGGGTACTGTCACGCCCTGGCTCTGGGGACTCTCGTATGTTGAGCCAGGGTGTTTATTTTGTTTAGGTTCTAGTCGTTGTCTATCTATGTTGGCCTGAGTGACTCCCAATCAGAGGCAACGAGTGTCAGCTGGTTGTCTCTGATTGGGAGCCATATTTAACTGTCTGTCTTTCACTTTGTGTTTGTGGTTTCTTGTTCGTGTTGGTTTGTGTTTAAACCATAGACGTCACGTTTTTCGTTTGTTGTTTTGATCGTGTGATCATTAAATAAATATAAATATGTTAACCTGCAACGCTGCGCCTTGGTCTCTCCCTGACGATCGTGACACCCTGTATATAGTCTCCCTACTGTTATTTTATTTTACCGCTGCTCTTTAATTATTTTTTATTTTTAACTTACCTATTTTTTACTTAAAACTGCATTGTTGGTTAAGGGATTGTAAGTAAGCATTTCACTGTATTCGGTGCATGTGGCAAATTAAATTGATTTGATGGAGTGCTGCATCAGATGACCTGGCCTACACAATCCCCCGACCTCAACCCAATTGAGATGGTTTGGGATGAGTCGGACGGCAGAGTGAAGGAAAAGCAGCCAACAAGTGCTCAGCATATGTGGGAACTCCTTCAAGACTGTTGGAAAAGCATTCCAGGTGAAGCTGGTTGAGAGAATGCCAAGAGTGTGCAAAGCTGTCATCAAGGCAAAGGGTGGCTATTTTAAGAATCTCAAATATAAAATATATTTTGATTTGTTTAACACTTCTTTGGTTACTACATGATTCCATATGTGTTATTTCATAGTTTTGATGTCTTCACTATTATTCTACAATGTAAAAAACAGTAAAAAGACAGAAAGAACCTTGAATGAGTAGGTGTGTCCAAACGTTTGACTGGTACTGTATGTAAATTAGATATTTCTGAATTTCCTTTTCAATAAATTTGCCCAAATTAAATAAAACAAATGTTTTCACTTTGTCATTATGGGGTATTTTGTGTAGATTGGTGAGAATTCAGGCTGTACCACTACAAAATGTGAAATAATTCAAGGGGTTTGAAGACTGTACAGTTGAAGTCGGACGTTTACATACACCTTAGCCAAATACATTTAAACTCAGTTTTTCACAATTCCTGACATTTAATCCTAGTAAAAAGTCAGTTTTAGGTCAGTTAGGACCCCCATTTTATTTTAAGAATGTGAAATGTCAGAATAATAGTAGAGATAATTATTTATTTCAGCTTTTATTTATTTCATCACATTTCCAGTGGGTCAGAAGTTTACATACACTCAATTAGTATTTGGTAGCATTGTCTTTAAATTGTTTAACTTAGGTCAAACGTTTTGGGAAGCCTTCCACAAGCTTCCCACAATAAGTGGGTGAATTTTGGCCCATTCCTCCTGACAGAGCTGGTATAACTGAGTGAGGTTTGTAGGCCTCCTTGCTCGCACACGCTTTTTCAATTCTGCCCACACATTTTCTATAGGTTGGAGGTCAGGGCTTTGTGATGGCCACTCCAATACCTTGACTTTATTGTCCTTAAGCCATTTTGCCACAACTTTGGAAGTATGCTTGGGGTCATTGTCCATTTGGAAGACCCATTTGCGACCAAGCTTTAACTTCCTGACTGATGTCTTGAGATGTTGCTTCAATATATCCACATAATTTTCCTTCCTCATGATGCCATCTATTTTGTGAAGTGCACCAGTCCCTCCTGCAGCAAAGCACCCCCACAGCATGATGCTGCCACCCCCGTGCTTCACAGTTGGGATGGTGTTCTTCGGCTTGCAAGCCACCCCCTTTTTCTTCCAAACATAACAATGGTCATTATGGCCAAACAGTTCTATTTTTGTTTCATCAGACCAGAGGACATTTCTCCAAAAAGTACAATCTTTGTCCCCATGTGCAGTTGCAAACCGTAGTCTGGCTTTTTTTATGGCGGTTTTGGAGCAGTGGCTTCTTCCTTGCTGAGCGGCCTTTCAGGTTATGTCGATATAGGACTCGTTTTACTGTGGATATAGATACTTTTGTACCTGTTTCCTCCAGCATCTTCACAAGGTCCTTTGCTGTTGTTCTGGGATTGATTTGCACTTTTCGCACCAAAGTACGTTCATCTCTAGGAGACAGAACGCGCCTCCTTCCTGAGCGGTATGACGGCTGCGTGGTCCCATGGTGTTTATACTTGCATACTATTGTTTGTACAGATGAACGTGGTACCTTCAAGCGTTTGGAAATTGCTCCCAAGGATGAACCTGACTTGTGGTCTACAATTTGTCTGATTTATTTTGATTTTCCCATGATGTCAAGCAAAGAGGCACTGAGTTTGAAGGTAGGCCTTGAAATACATCCACAGGTACACCTCCAATTGACTCAAATGATGTCAATTAGCCTATCAGAAGCTTCTAAAGCCATGACATCATTTTCTGGAATTTTCCAAGCTGTTTAAAGGCACAGTCAACTTAGTGTATGTAAACTTCTGATCCACTGGAATTGTGATACAGTGAATTATAAGTGAAATAATCTGTCTGTAAACAATTGTTGGAAAAATTACTTGTGTCATGCACAATGTAGATATCCTAACCGACTTGCCAAAACTATAGTTTGTTAACAAGAAATGTGTGGAGTGGTTGAAAAACAAGTTTTAATGACTCCAACCTAAGTGTATGTAAACTTCCAACTTCAACTGTAAGTAGAGACCACCACCAGACACCATCACCACCAGACACCATCACCACCATACACCATCACCACCATACACCATCACCACCAGACACCATCACCACCAGACACCATCACCACCACCACCAGACACCATCACCACCAGAGACCACCACCACCAGAGACCATCACCACCAGACACCATCACTAACAGACACCATCACCACCAGACACCACCACCACCACCACCCCCACCAGACACCACCATCTCCAGACACCACCACCATCAGACACCATCACCACTAGCATGTAATCTTCAATAGCCTTTTGGCCCATTTACAACCAGTACCGTAGAGAAAAGGTCACTAGACTACGTGTCATAATCAGCCCTTTCTGTCCAAGAAAAGAAAACATTAAAAAAAAACAGACAGAGCCTGTCTGCAATCATGTGCACTTTGGCCTTCCAGAAGAAGGGACTCTGCCTGAAACGGTGACAGTTCACCAATGACCGTTTCATGGGGCATACTTGGACAACACATCTCTGCCACACCTGTTTCCATGGAGCCAGACCAGGGCCGTTCCTCCTGAATATCTGCCTTCCCACCAACAAATGCCTCTATTGACTGAGGATCATGGAAACCCAAGGGAATAGTTTTTTTTTGTGTGGAATATCCTGACTGTATAGGTCAAAGCTTCCCAACAAGCACAATCTACACAAAGTACAGCCATTACCATCGTTAAGGTGATCATTTCAAAGTATACGGCTACAGCACTAAAGCTACATAACAGGATGGGATGGAGGGGAGAGGACTGAACATATTTTCCAGGGGACCTATTATCCCTCTTATTTACAGTGAGGAACCTGGCTCACCTCCAGAATGTGGTCCCCTGGGGCCAGTCCTGCCGTCGCGGGCTGCCAGTGAGTCACGGATGATCTCCTGGATCACTATGTTCCCCAGGGGCGTGTCCTTTCCTCCCACGATACGCAGGCCCAACTCCTCTTCCTGCTCCTCCCGAAACATCTCCACCACGTTGGTTTCGGCCACCAGGCTGGACCGCAGGGGGGTCTCTGTGGAGAGAGGAGGGGATGGACATGGTCGTGGAGGTACACATGTTTACAAACAACCTGAGACATACAACCTGACACACACACACAGATTCATATATGCTCAAACACATCATCAATGGTCCATGGTTGCCTTTCATTGTGTGTCCGATTCCAACACACAACCCTAGTTTTCAATCAAGTAGGGCGAGTGGCAACTTATTCCCCAAGAAACACTCACAATGAGGTAATCATTTCTGTGATATCAATCGGCAGTTGCCAGGTAACTTTGTTTTGATGGACTTCGTTCCACGGTACTGGATTACAAAATGCCTCAAGGGGTTCTACCAGACAGAGGTTAGATTGATACCAGAGGAGGCTAGTGGGAGGAGCTATAGGAGGACTGGTTGATACACGTTCTGAAGGTTCAGACGATGATTTGGCCCGAGTGTCTGAAATCCAGGGGCAAAATTAACGATGTCAGCAATACTCCTCCTCTCCATCTTTGACAGCTCTCTTGCCAAGAATGGCCACATCAAAGGGGTTTTGGGTTTTCCCTAAAGTCAACACAGCTGCCAAACTGTTTCCGCTCACTTCCTTTCCCTGGGTGCTTTCATAAACTCCTTACACCTTCGTTGACCCAATTAACACTGATAGGGCTGTTACGGTGACTGTATTACCGCCACACCGACGGTCACGAGTCATGAAAGGCAGTCAAATTCCACGTGACCGTTTAGTCACGGTAGCTAGGCTTCTCCATACGCTGATGCTGCTGATGGTCATTAGTAGCCTACCAAACTTGCTAACTACCTGGTCCTCAGCACTCTATTTTCCCTCTAACCACTCTGACATCAATGCAAACGTAATCTAAAATCTAATCAAACACTTAACGAGAGCCCATGAGCTCATGTTGCACAACATTTCTATAGGCTATGCAATTGCGTGAAAAAAACAGAGTGCTGGCCTCTATTAAAAAGAGGTGGATCCCATCAGCTTTCTATTGGCTAGGAATACTATATTTATTTCTCAACTTTCCTAATATTAAGTACATTGCTTTTCTTTACAACAGGAGTATAGCCTACCTGGCTGGCATGAAAATGACCCACGGGAAAAGCGTCCTCCATTCGCTTTTTAAGTGCATAGATGATATGTATTTTTTCCCCTGCCCCTGTTCCGAGACAGGTGCATGATAATGGTCCATTCTAAATCAAAACAAATTTCACACATCTACTAAATAATATATGCAAAGACAAGATTCAATCAAGAATAGTCTGATGGGTGACAATATTAGCGTATCACTTGTGAATGATGCCCAGCGTAAGGCAAGAAACAATACCTATTTTTTTTGCTACTTTTTGAAATCATAGTCGCACACCTCATGTAGCCTAGCTCATAGGCCTACATGTTTTGATAAGGTTTATATCACAACTAAAGTGATCATATAACTTCTTAAAATTAAGCAGATGAATCCGCTTTACAAGGGGTATAGAGCCTAACTGGCATACATAAGCAGCACCTGAGTTTCAAGCTTGGGGAAGATACTTTCACCATAGAAATGTACCTTCATAATAAAAGCATTACATGCATAATCGCATTTGAGGTCACTTTTGATAATGGTGTTTTCCCAATAATGGAACATTCGCGCTTATAGCCTAGCATTGCTGCGCTTATAATGTGAAGAAATAGCCTAATAGTTTATCAACATTGCGTAAAAAAGGTTTTTTGATGCTAGTGGTTGTACTAATTTGGGATCTAGTCCATCCCACAACTGTCCCCATACTATGTTTGGAATATTTATTTATCGCATAGAATAGGTCAGTTTTTGTACTATGGGGGATAGTAGATTGACATAGGCTAGTGCTTTTGCTGTTCGTCAGGCCTACTCATCTTGTTGGCTGGTGAAAAGTAAATGTGGACAGTTCTTCCAATATCTTCAATATGCACCTCGGAATTGGATAAGGACGCGCGCAGTTGTGTCTGTCTTTACTTACAGCCTGTGAGAAAGACCCGATCACATGATGGAGAGCCATGTGAGTGACAGGTGCTTCAGAGAACGCAGCTCTCAGGGAGAAGGGAATTATAATTGTTATATTTAGACCCAAGGGCACAATGGCCACTGGCCGCAAAAGGCATGGATTTTTTTAGGGGGAATATCCTTTCTATTTTATTCAGCTTTGTTCAATTGTATTCTTCATACTTGCCTGCTAAATGAACTAGTGTAGCCCACAGCCATATGGCATAGCCAGATCAGGACCTAACATAAGGACAACTCAGAGTATGCTATTCTGTTCTTCTGAAATAGACTACATTTTCTTCACATCATGTTTCTTTAGACCTGTCTAAAATAAATAATGGGTTTATTGTGAAGGTGTAGGCTATATTACATGGATTAATGTAGATGTTCCAAAGGTCTGCATCAGTGGCTTGTAGGCTATGTGTGGAAGCCAGGAGATGTTAAATGTGTTCATGTTAATTAACGGTCAATTACCGTGAGACCAGCAGTTATTTGCTTGACAATCACCGGCTGACGAAATTTCGTGACCGCCACAGCCCTAAACACTGATATAGATTTTTCCATTCTTAAAAAGCATAATTTTTTTCAATGGGAGCTCACTGCTATTCACTTAGACTGACAGACTATCATTATCATCCTCCTATAATCAGACTTCAGACATAGTGACGTCAGTGTGACGTCTAACTGTTTGCGTTGTGGGCGGAGTAGGAAGTGAGTTACGTGTGACATCTTACCCTCCTCGCTCTCTTCGAAGGCGGGGTTGATAAGGCCAGGCTCGGGCAGGACACCCCGGGTGGGGGTGCGGGTCATCGTAGGGGTGTGTTTGGCATCAGCACCTGACTCCCCCTCGCCCCTGTTCCCCTTAAGCTCTTTCCAGGGGGGTCTCTTCCTCCTCGCTGCTTCCTCCTTCAGCCTTCTGAAAACAGGACATCTGAGGGAGGAGTGGGAGAAAGGGAAAGAAAAAGAGAGGTAGAGAAAAAGAGAGGTCAACATTCAACAGTCCTTCTTTTAATTAACCCTCATTACATTTGTCCAAAACTGTCAATGAAGGAAACCTAAAATATCCTGAGTGACCAGACTTCCTTTAGATTCTGTGTGACCAGCAAAAAAGAGAGTACAATCTATGTTTATTCATTTGTTTCAGTGAGGAGGACAATTCTAAAACGCTAAATGGGGCTCAAGCTAGAGGTGTGGAAATGAATAGATTGTGTGACTATTGAGGGAGTCAGAGAGAGAGAGACTATGAGAAGAGGAGAGGAGCTATGCAGATGAGGAGACTATTTTACTGCATTGCAGGGAGTCTGAGGGGGGGACAGGTCGAGTGTGATTAAGACAGAGAGAGAGAGCTACTGCTGCTGGTCCCGCTGTCTGAACTTTGCCTCATCTCTGTTTGCACTGGGCGGATGGCTGCAGCATGACCAGCTATCACAATACAACCTTTACCCACTACTGACTGCGTCATTGTTGCTCGCTAACCACTAAGATGATAAGCACCCCACTGGCCACGTGAGGAATGGGAAAACTAATCTACAAATTAAACTCCTCTTGGAGGGTATGATATTTACATTTACATTTACGTCATTTAGCAGACACTCTTATCCAGAGCGACTTACAGTTAGTGAGTGCATACATTTTCATACTTGAGACTGAACTTCTCCTTTGAGTCCAGGTACTATGTAATTAAAGCTATTTCATTGAAGTCTAAACCTGACTGACTTATGGTCGGGGCGCCGGAAGGGATGGCTGCCGTTTTACGGGCTCCTAACCAACTGTGGTATTTTGTGTGTTTTTTCCCGTTTATAACTTATTTTGGACATACTGCTTCTCCGAGACCAGGCCCAAATCCCCGTCATTCGCGTGAAGAAAATACGGAAATACAAGGGGCGGAGATCGGGGTGCCTTGTGAGAATTTGTCGGGAGTGGGTAACCCGCCTCTACCATCCGTTCTATTGGCCAACGTGCAATCACTGGAAAATAAACAGGATGATCTCCGCTCGAGACTATCCTACCAAAGGGACATTAAAAACTGTAATATCTTATGTTTCACAGAGTCGGGCTGAACGACGTCACAGATAATATACAGTTGGCTGGGTTTTCCGTGCATCGGCAGGACAGAACAGCTACGTCTGGTATGACGAGGGGTGGTGGTGTGTGTCTATTTGTCAATAACATCTGGTGCACAATGTCTAATATTAAAGATGTCTCGAGGTATTGCTCGCCTGAGGTAGAGTACCTCATGATAAACTGCAGACCACACTATCTACCAAGAGAGTTTTCATCTATATTTTTGTAGCCGTCTATTTACCACCACAAACCGATGCTGGCACTAAGAACGCACTCAACGAGCTGTATACGGCCATAAGCAAACAAGAAAATGCTCATCCAGAAGCGGCGCTGCTAGTGGCCGGGGACTTTAATGTAGGCAAACTTAAATCAGTTTAACCTAATTTCTACCAGCATATCACGTGCAACCAGAGGAAAAAAAACTCTAGACCACCTTTATTCCACAAATAGAGATGCATACAAAGCTCTTCCTCGCCCTCCATTTGGCAAATCTGACCATAATTCTATCCCCCTGATTCCTGCTTACAAGCAAAAGTGGTCAGATGACGCAGATGCTACGCTACAGGACTGTTTTGCTAGCACAGACTGGAATATGTTCCGGGATTCATCTAACGGCATTGAGGATTATACCACCTCAGTTACCGGCTTCATCAATAAGTGCATCGATGACGTCTTCCCCACAGTGACCGTACGCACATATCCCAACCAGAAGTCATGGATTACAGGCAACATCCACACCGAGCTAAAGGCTAGAGCTGCCACTTTCAAGGAGCGGGACACTAATCCGGACACTTATAAGAAATCCTGCTATGCCCTCAGACGAACCATCAAACAGGCAAAGCGTCCATACAGGACTAAGACTGATACAGGACTAAGACTGAATCCTACTATACCGGCTCTGGCGCTCGTCAGATGTGGCAGGGCTTGCAAACTATTAAGGACTACAAAGGGAAACCCAGCCGCGAGCTGCCCAGTGACGCGAGCCTACCAGACAAGCTAAATGCCTATGCCCCCCCCCCCCCCCCCCCCCCCCCCCCCCCCTTGTTTTTACACTGCTACTACTCGCTGTTTATTATCTATGCATAGTCACTTTACCCCTACCTACCTGTACAAATTACCTCGGCTAACCTGTACCCTCGCACATTGACTCGTTACCGGTAACCCCTCTATATAGCCTCGGTATTGTTATTGTGTAACTTTTTTTTTTTTTTTTAAACTCAATTGAACTGCATTGTTGGTTAAGGGATTTAGCTCAATTGGTAGAGCATGGCGCTTGTAACGCCAGGGTAGTGGGTTCGATCCCCGGGACCACCCATACGTAAAAATGTATGCACACATGACTGTAAGTCGCTTTGGATAAAAGCGTCTGCTAAATGGCATATTATTATTATTATTTTAAGTAAGCATTTCCTGTTGTATTCAGTGCATGTGACAAATACATTTTGATTTGATTTGATTTTTACCTTTGACAGGCCTGTGTACCCATTAACTCCAAATGAATTGCGTAGGAAAATACATTTCAGACATAGACATAATTGCCACATTTAAACTAGAGTAAAATACAGTTCCTATTTTGGCTAACTTACTGTTGTTGCAAAGCAGACATTTTAAGCTTAACTCTAAACTAAATAACTTTCCCATCTCCAACTCCCTCTTCCCTGTGCCCCGGACATAACCCTATTTACCTGTTGTGCAGGTGGGGCTGCAGCTCGCAGCGCTGCATCTGCTGCTGGCACTCAGCTTGGTGTGGGCAGAGCACGGTCAGCTTGTCCAGCAGGTTCCTGACCAGCAGGCTGGAGGGCCGGCACTGGTGCAGCTGCAGCCGCTGGCGGTCCACGGGACAGAAGTCCTGCTCCTTCAGGAAGCTGCTGAGGCACTGGAAGCAGTAGGTGTGTCCGCACGGCGTGTCCATGGGCCGCAGCAGGGGCTGCAGACAGATGTGGCACACCAGCTCGTCATCTACCTCATCCTGGTATTCGTACAGGTGGTTCTCCTGGCCCCCCTCGTGCTGCTGGCCACACTCCTTACACATCTTTGCCCATGCCAGGCCAGCACTGCTGATGCTGCTGCTACAGCTGGGGACGTTGGGCTCCGTCATGGCACACTGGCTGGGATACCTATCTAGCAAGTCCAACTTCCTTTGTTCCACTATCCAACTTTCTCTGTGCCTGTTCCTGCACTCACTCTTGATCCCAGAAAGGATCTGCTTAGTTTATTTTATTTCATTAGGGGGCAAACATCCCAGACTGAATCCATTGAAAGGGGTGAGGTTGAAACCCTGATCCACTGTGCGTCCTCTCCTCCTCATGTCTTCATCCTGGATTTCTGTTGAGGGGAGCACAAAGAGGTCTGCCGTTAGAGTTGTTACTTTTTCTACTCGTACTGACCAGCTCATCAGGAAATAACAAATCCACAGAGCGGCAACAATATGGAGGCCAGCCGCAGCTGTTTCCTCTCAGCCAGATTCCTGAGGAACTAAAGGAATTTTCCTTTCGGCTACATGTCACTGTGCGCTTCATTAAAGGGGTAAACCTCCATGAAATGAGGTGAGAAAGGGAGAAAAAGGACTAAATGTGAAAACCGTGCTAATGGGAAGGAACAAAGGCATGGCACTGGGAGAGAATGAGAACTCTGAATGAACTGGGCAAAAATGCAATCCACATCACTAATGACCCCCTCGTGCCCAATCAGCAGAGGTCTCCATCCCTCTGTGAGGCTTCTAATCTCTCCATGAATTCCCTCTCTCATTCTTCGCTGAGTCTTTTGGCAACTTACTCTACACATGTGCAAAGAAAAGGAGCTGATTTGTAAGCTCCAATCAACACTCTTGTGAAATGAATCGTAAAACCCACAAACTGCAACACAAACTAACAAGCATATATGAATATCTTACAGCACAGGAGGCTGGTGGCACCTTAATTGGGGAGGATGGGCTCGTGGTAACGGCTGGAGCGGAATTGTGGAATGGTATCACATAAATCAAACACATGGTTTCACATTGATGCCATTCCATTTGCTCCGTTCCGGCCATTATTATGAGCCGTCCTCCCCTCATCAGCCTCCTGTGCTTACAAAGTACACTGAGTAGGAGTGCCCCTCCAACATCACTTATGCAAATACTGAGATGTGTTTACATGCCACCATTTCTCGTTCCCCTTTGTCACATGGTTAAGATCAGATTCCCTTCATTCACCGATCCCAGCACTCCTCTCTGGCCCCATTGAGAGGTCAGCAAGGTAAAAGACCAGACGGATTCTTTATCTTCTTCCTCATTAACTTTGTTCCACCTACCTGAGAAGCTGATATCAGCGTTGTTAAGAACCCCGGCCAGTCGGCAGCCACTGCATGCAAACGAGAACCTCAAACCCAATAGCTGTGCTGGCTGCCTGCAGCCTGACTGAAACCAGAGCTCCACATCCCCGGCACACAGTCAGTGGATCTGTGTGTGCTTGCGGTGTGTGTGTGACAAACTGAGGGGGAGTGGTGTGACTAGGCACAGGGGAGCTCGGCGGAGAGGAGGAGTGTTCAGCCTGCCTCCGTCGATTCCTGAAGAGGGGGGAGAGGAGGATTAGAGGAGGGGAGGGGGACTCAGACGGCTGATATCGCACTAGCGCAGGCAAAACACTCAGAGGCCAAACCGAGGGCTGAGCAATTACACCGAGGCTGGTGTACACACACACACACACACAGCCTGAGGTCAAACAGGATGGCCTACTCTCTCACCGCCTTTCTTTCTCGTTACTCAAGTGATCCCTCGTCTTGTAATGGATAAGGGGCATGGATCCTGTGGCACAAGGTTCTGCCCCACTTACAGTTTTGGGGAATTCACATGAGCAGGCTCCATGGATCTACAAATATTCAATCTGACCTGAGATTACTTCAGATGAAGGTCAAGGGTGTCCTATATTGGAATTCTCTACAAAACAAAACAAACACTACCTACTTGAGTGGAATGCCTCCTTTTCAGCACATGCATGTTTAGACTTGCCTGACCGAGACAGAGATTAGCCTAAATAAAATTCCTCATGATCTTAGATATGCATATTTGCCATAGCATAAAAGCACATCATCTATAAATGTTTAATAGGAGAGAGCTGGACAGAGAATGTGGCTTAGAGATAGGGAGTGGAAGGATCCATTGAGTTTCATTGAGGAGGCAGCACTTGTGGTTATTAAAGGCAGTATGCCGCTGAGGAGCCAGGCAGGCAGGATGTGATGGATGGCCTGCTCAGCCCCTTAGCCCCTCCACTCCATCTCTCTCTGGATGGTGCAGGCCCTCTGATATACCAAGTAGGGACGGCTGGGAAGCCATGTGTCAACGTCCACATCCCCCCCACACACACACTACTGCAGTGGTTTACGAGGTTGTGGCTGTTCCTCAAGGATGCACACTGCTCATGGCAGGGGTGAGACTAGCTACCATTAGGGTTGGGGCGGTATCCAGATGTTCATACCGTCATACAGTTTTTGTACCATACCGGGGTATACGGTATTACCGAATGTGCACACAAGAAGTACTATTATTATTTGTATTTTTTGACGCACAAAACAATTTAGGCAACATGGATCTTGATCCAGGAAGGGATTGAATGTCTCTGCTGTAACCAAGAAGCTTGATCTTGCCACCTAGCAGGCAAATATCAAACCAAATGCATAGCTGGAGCCCTGAGCTGGATATCATTTATTTGACACATCTTAGATAATTTACTTGTATTTATAAGCAGTGGTGTGGCACCCATTTTGTTTTTACGGTATTGAAAATCATACCGTCGGTATGTCTGTATACCCGGTATATCGCCCCAAGCCTAGCTACCATACAGAATCCCCTGGTTATTACATTTACATTTTAGTCATTTAGCAGACGCTCTTATCCAGAGCGACTTACAGTTAGTGAATACATGTTTTTTTTTATACTGGCCCCCCGTGGGAATCGAACCCACAACCCTGGCGTTGCAAACGCCATGCTCTTTCAACTGAGCTACATCCCTGCCGGCCATTCCCTCCCCTACCCTGGACGACGCTGGGCCAATTGTGTGCCGCCCATGAGTCTCCCGGTCGCGGCCGGCTGCGACAGAGCCTGGATTCGAACCAGGATCTCTAGTGGCACAGTTAGCACTGCGATGCAGTGCCTTAGACCACTGCGCCACTCAGGAGTACATACTACTGCCTTTACACATTCCCTGGTTAATACTAAATCCCCTGGTTAATACTACTGCTTTTACACATCCCCTGATTAATACTACATCCCCTGGTTATTACTACTGCCTTTACACGTCCCCTGGTTATTACTACTGCCTTTACACATCCCCTGGTTATTACTACTGCCTTTACACATCCCCTGGTTCATACTACTGCCTTTACACATCCCCTGGTTAATACTACTGCATTTATATGTCCCCTGGTTATTACTACTGCCTTTACACGTCCCCTGGTTAATACTACTGCCTTTATACGTCCCCTGGTTATTACTACTGCCTTTACATGTCCCCTGGTTAATACTACTGCCTTTATACGTCCCCTGGTTATTACTACTGCCTTTACACGTCCCCTGGTTAATACTACTGCCTTTACACATCCCCTGGTTATTACTACTGCCTTTATACGTCCCCTGGTTAATACTACTGCCTTTACACATCCCCTGGTTATTACTACTGCTTTACACATCCCCTGGTTATTACTACTGCCTTTATACACATCCCCTGGTTGTACATCATCCTTTCTTTGATTCTTCTTTCACGTAATAACTTTATTAAGTCTGTTCAACTACTCATCTCCTAAAAGGGCATGTTGTCACGTATAACCGATCTAAAGTTCCATTGAGCTTTAATGTTTAATATCATATTAAAAAGACATGAATCATATATTTTAATCAATGGTTTCTAATGCTAGGAGGCAATTGCTAGGAGTAAAATCTTCAGTAGTATTGATGTTTTCATAATTTTTGTTAATTGTTATCTAGGGCTAAACATGCTTTGACAGCAGTGGTATGCAGTGCTATACATTCTCACGTTGGCAATGTGATGTTGCATTGTTAAGTACTGAACTTTTCACGTGAAGTTGAATCCTGTTGAAAGGTATGTTCTGAAGCTGACAAAGTCACCTTGATGGGGGATAATGCCTCAAGAACAATGAATAATAATGTGATATTCAAAGCTTTCTAGGAAAAATGTCTTGGCTCACAATAAAACTCACCTCACCAATGTTTCCATTGTGTCTCCACAACAGCAGAGGCGAGTCACATGTTCCGCCACACCCTCGTAAAGTGAACCCAGGTGAAGCCATGAGGCAAACAGAACAACTCCCTTGGCTGAGACGGTATTCAATCATCTAAAAGGGGTGTGTCCTGAAGGATTTGACTCTGATTGACTGAAAGTGAAAATACAAGCAATGCCAAAACAGAAAACCTTACCCCCTAAAATTCACATTACTTCATAATCTACCCACTCCCTTTCTACCAGACAGTTGCATGATTGCCCATTGGTACCACAGTCTCTGCTACAGAGACCCATCCAGGCTAAAGCGCACAGTCACAGGATCTAATCATCCCACTGTTCAGCAGTAGACCACTGTCTGAAGAACACACTCGACACTGGGCTCCAGAAACAAGACATCAACTTCTGACCATGAATATCCATCCATAACTAGAGAATAGGTCACATAAAGATACTTAGGTCTGCTATTCAATACAGAGAGAATGAAAAACAAAAACATTAATTAATCAATGTGGTTCTATCCATTATTCAAAGGAAAGTACCTCTTCCAAATGAAAGCTATATTTTGGGGAAATAAAGGCATAGATACATTTTTCAACCGTTTCCATCTTAAAAACTAGGCATAAGTAAAGGCTTTGATTTCTGGTCAAACAGATGGAAAAGAGATCTTAGAAAACATCTACCAGAAAAAGTCTTAAACGATATCAGAAATACATCAAAACACAATAATGCAGACATAAAGAACCCTGCCAACTAATATCAACACCTTCAGATTTAGTTTTGGAGAAATTGTTAACCTTCTGTAAGTTTAAGAAATATTGCCTTGTGCCTTGTAATTCTGTTACCAAAAACCCACATATCTTTAAGATATTTTATAATTTATCTCCCTCATGAGGAGGGAGGATAATGAAAGTTCACAGAAGTAACAAGTAACGGTAGACCTACCAATTAGTTACAGTGGGGAAAAAAAGTATTTAGTCAGCCACCAATTGTGCAAGTTCTCCCACTTAAAAAGATGAGAGAGGCCTGTAATTTTCATCATAGGTAAACGTCAACTATGACAGACAAAATGAGAATTTTTTTTCCAGAAAATCACATTGTATGATTTTTAATGAATTTATTTGCATATTATGGTGGAAAATAAGTATTTGGTCAATAACAAAAGTTTCTCAATACTTTGTTATATACCCTTTGTTGGCAATGACACAGGTCAAATGTTTTCTGTAAGTCTTCACAAGGTTTTCACACACGGTATTTTGGCCCATTCCTCCATGCAGATCTCCTCTAGAGCAGTGATGTTTTGGGGCTGTCACTGGGCAACACGGACTTTCAACTCCCTACAAAGATTTTCTATGGGGTTGAGATCTGGAGACTGGCTAGGCCACTCCAGGACCTTGAAATGCTTCTTACAAAGCCACTCCTTCCTTGCCCGGGCGGTGTGTTTGGGATCATTGTCATGCTGAAAGACCCAGCCACGTTTCATCTTCAATGCCCTTGCTGATGGAAGGAGGTTTTCACTCAAAATCTCACGATACATGGCCCCATTCATTCTTTCCTTTACACGGATCAGTCGTCCTGGTCCCATTGCAGAAAAACAGCCCCAAAGCATGATGTTTCCACCCCCATGCTTCACAGTAGGTATGGTGTTCTTTGGATGCAACTCAGCATTCTTTGTCCTCCAAACACGACGAGTTGAGTTTTTACCAAAAAGTTATATTTTGGTTTCATCTGACCATATGACATTCTCCCAATCCTCTTCTGGATCATCCAAATGCACTCTAGCAAACTTCAGACGGGCCTGGACATGTACTGGCTTAAGCAGGGGGACACGTCTGGCACTGCAGGATTTGAGTCCCTTGCGGCGTAGTGTGTTACTGATGGTAGGCTTTGTTACTTTGGTCCCAGCTCTCTGCAGGTCATTCACTAGGTCCCCCCGTGTGGTTCTGGGATTTTTGCTCACCGTTCTTGTGATCATTTTGACCCCACGGGGTGAGATCTTGCGTGGAGCCCCAGATCGAGGGAGATTATCAGTGGTCTTGTATGTCTTCCATTTCCTAATAATTGCTCCCACAGTTGATTTCTTCAAAACAAGCTGCTTACCTATTGCAGATTCAGTCTTCCCAGCCTGGTGCAGGTCTACAATTTTGTTTCTGGTGTCCTTTGACAGCTCTTTGGTCTTGGACATAGTGGAGTTTGGAGTGTGACTGTTTGAGGTTGTGGACAGGTGTCTTTTATACTGATAACAAGTTCAAACAGGTGCCATTAATACAGGTAACGAGTGGAGGACAGAGGAGCCTCTTAAAGAAGAAGTTACAGGTCTGTGAGAGCCAGAAATCTTGCTTGTTTGTAGGTGACCAAATACTTATTTTCCACCATAATTTGCAAATAAATTCATTAAAAATCCTACAATGTGATTTTCTGGAAAAAAAATTCTCAATTTCTCTGTCATAGTTGACGTGTACCTATGATGAAAATTACAGGCCTCTCTCATCTTTTTAAGTGGGAGAACTTGCACGATTGGTGGCTGACTAAATACTTTTTTCCCCCACTGTATATTGATTTATTTTAATGATATCAATTTTGTTTATGAATTATTAAGTGATTAAAACTCGTAATTCAGTAACCAAAACGTTAACGGAATTACCAAAATATTTGTAACGGAATTACTGCAATTTAATTGTGGTCCTCTGTAGCTCAGCTGGTAGAGCACGGCGCTTGTAACGCCAAGGTAGTGGGTTCGATCCCCGGGACCACCCATACACGAAAAATGTATGCACGCATGACTGTAAGTCGCTTTGGATAAAAGCGTCTGCTAAATGGCATATTATTATTAATTGGCTACAATAGGAAATCATAGTAGTCACCAACTACAGATATTTAACAAGAGTGTTTGGTAAACGTGGTCGCATAAAAATCAAAGTTTGCATCTGCACAGTTCTTCCACTAAATTAGCTTTTGTACATTTTTTCAGTTTAAATAATTAAACGTAGTCCTTGTGCATAGAGTTGTATGGTGTGTTAAACTTGGTTTTTGTTTGGCATACATTTTAAAGTGAAAAAACTGTCAAAGCATAATTCCATTACTGTGGAATTGCCCATAATCATGTGAAGTTGATAGTTCAATTGATACAAAGAACCTCTTGATTTAGGCTCTTGGGAAAATTACACCAGTTTCCCATGGGGAGGAGCTCACAATTGACGAAAAAAACGTAATTAACCAGTAGCCACTACCACCTCAAGATCAAATAGGACTGTCTGAAATTGCTATGCATATCCTGGTTGTATGAGCAAATCTTCTGTAACCTCTATTTAAATGCCTTAAGTCAAATGATGTGCCATTTCAATATTCTGTATTATTTCAATATTCACTGTAAATGACACAGCCTTGGTATTATATGATAAAGCCTAGTTATATTCTATAATTTTACATAATTCACCAGAAAGTGCCCACTTTTAATGCTGACACAGGCTTTAGCACTATGGTGTTACTGTAGAAAAGAGGCCATCATTGGGGCTGGTCTATTCCTTGGTCAGAAACCATAAATAATTCACTGTCCCCACTGACACTGACAGCTGATGACGAGGTTAACAACCGAGCAAACTTTCCCCTTCCTTCATTTATGCATTGCACACGTGTGGCAAATCCATTACGTGTTAACCCTCCTATACATTTTATGGCATAGGCTATTACTTTGTCTACCCAAGTCACTGGAAAAGAATACCGAACATTACGCACTCTAAAAACAGAAACTTACTGGCCACATTACATTCTGTCTCCTTCAACAACACAACCAGAGATATGGGCTACCTTTAATTAGTTGGAATGTGTTAGGCTAGGCTATATTCTCATACACTTATGTTATAGGTAGGCTGTATGGAATGTGTGAGAATACATTTGAAAAATGTAAAACAATCATGTTTGATGAGAGAATAGAATTTGCGGGAGCCGAGACCATAAAGATGGCCTAGACCGAAACTCGTCTTCTTACCTGTGTGAAGGGCTTTTATTCCCGGAAGTAATAAAACAAAGACAGTCGTGAAATCGTGCTATGACTAAAGTAGCCTATAGCCTCGAGAAACTCCGATAATAAAGCGAGAAACGATTAATATAATCCTACACGTTACATTTCTGAGTGAATAATACAGCTCATTCTTCACAGGGCGCCGCCTCAGGTGTAATAGGTTGTACAGACCAGAGATGGAAAAGTCAGCGAGACATCCCACTCCCTCATTTTATATGTTTCAATGGCAGTCAATGAACCAAGTAGACCAGACGTAGCTGCTATCGCATTAGTGTCTATGGGAGAGACACCCTCTTAAGTAGACAGGAACTGACAATTTTATTCAATGGTAATCGGACTGAGTGAACTATCTTTATTTATCCACCATCTTTGGTACAGGCAATATTTCTAGTTTCGAACAACAAACAAGTAGGATCTGACGTAGAAAGTGATATTCAAATTAGGCAGGTTACTTTTAAATTGTTTATCTTAGGCCTGCTACGTTAGGTTACTTTCTAATGGATCTTTCTAAGTATCACGTGGATTGCGTGATAAACCATTGCCATAAACCATTCACTGCATACGTATGCTTTTAGCATTAATTATTGAACACCAAATGACATTGTATTTGTCACATGCGCCGAATACAACTGGTGTAGACTTTACCGTGAAATGCTTGCTTACGAGCCCTTCCTAACGATGCAGATGATAAAAGTCAATATATAGCAAAGTTGGGTTGGAAGTGAACTCGTAGAATTCGCCCTTCTCCGTCGGCGCCGGCACCTGGCCTGTATGTGTTATCATCTGCATTTTACAATGGGCAGTCCCTTGTTCAGATTCAGTTTAGACATAGTAGCAGCCTATACTGTAGCCTAGGAATTGATAAAACAGATTTAGGGAAAATGTAGATTTGAATTAGCTAAATAAACACTTTATGTTGAAGACCATTTTTGAAGACCATTTATGCTAAAGGTAATTCAGCAGTTCCTACCCATTGATTCTTGAGGAATATCATTTAGAAATGTCTCATGAGCTTAGTTCAACTGTCGTACCCCATCAGAACCCAAATATAAGCTTATTTTACTCCAATGTTCAAAAACAAATTGAATGTAAACAAACGCTTTATAGCCTCAAAACATGGTTATTATCATTTACATCATTTTGATATCATGGAGGGTAAGTCCTTGCATCAATAGCTCTGTCTATGAGTGGTTACATTTTCCCAGCCCCATCCCTCAGCTTTTTACCAAAACAGGGGCAGGGAGAACCCTTTTTTATTGTTTCTACTGCTGAAGACACATTTTCTGCTAGTAGCCTACAATGTAATGACCAATTGAGGATGAATGATAAATTGAGGATCAATTGAGATTCCAAAGTTTTGTGACCATAACAGTTTTATGAGAGCAAATTGTAACTGTGATAATTTCAATTGTAATAACATTCCCAGTTTCTCTCAACTCTCCTTGCATTAGAGCGTGAGAAAAGTGACAAACAGTACAGTGTTTGTAAGATATGTTTTCCCTTCAGTGTCTCCCAAACCCTGATTTATGGGTAAGAAGAATCACGTTGAATGAAAAGGAGCCGTCTGAATGGTGCCCAATAAAGTAATAATACTTGCTTTGGGACCCTGCCAGTTAAAAGGCTTTTGACACATGAACAGTGTTAGCTTCATACCCCCTGCAGGATGGAAGGGAAGTCTCTGCATCATAAAACCTCTCTGTTAAGGCCTGTTAAAGCTACATCCAAAGACTGACATTTGTTGACATGTTGTGTTCACTGGATGAAGTAGTTTTGTGTAATAACACTTTTATCAAAATAATTGTAGTGTCCTACTTCTCTCAAACCTCAATTAACTGTCATGATCATTATTATGTATTTCTAAACAGTTTTGTGATAACATCACAGCCCACTCTTCAGAAAAACATCTAGAACACTGTTATTAACTGTAGTGTAGACCAATTCTTGTTTCTTCCCAGCAACAGATCCAATGGAAGAGATCTAAAGATTGATGTTATAGGGTACAATTGCAATATCCAGCACGTATTAAATTGTGAATTACTGTAGACCACTTGAATTGAACAGAGGAATGAGGAGCCTCTTGTTGACACGTCACATTGCTTGAAGCTAATGAGCCTTGGTGAGTAAGAGTGACACCATGTGGTCAATTGTAGCATGACTAACACAAGTTAAAAATAGACTCAGCGTTATGACGTAGACGCGGAAAGTAAACAGCATAGTGGGTCAATTCCCTCAAGAACTAAGAGCGTTGAAGCACAAGGCTCAACTTCTCCGCTGTTTTGTTGCTCTGGCTACCGCGCTTGTGAACAGCATGAAGCGAACCCGTGCACAGTTACTGTGTGACTGTGTGAGAGCAGTCTTTCATCTCACTCATCTCAATATCTGCGAGGCTGCTCGTGGCAACGTCATTTCGCTGAGCCTACCTTTAATGACCAAGTGTTGCTGTTTCACACTGACCCAAGTAAGGGTACCTCTCTAAAGGATATATATTTTTTGAAATTGTGTGTATTTTTCTGTCTTTTTTAAGGTGTTATACATTTCCACAAGTTTCTGCAAGAATGCAAGTTGTTATGCACAAGTTACTGCATGACTGCAAGTTGTTATGATGACTAAATGTAAATCTTATTTTTCTCAAATGAATTCATCTGTTTTGTTGCTATTATAAAGCTCTATGATGAACCACACCAGAACACACAGTACACGGCAAGCGGTACCGATGCACGTCTGGAACCAACAGGACCCTGAACAGCTTCTACCCCCAAGCCATAAGACTGCTAAATAGTTAACCAAATACAGTTGAAGTCGTAAGTTAGGTTGGAGTCATTAAAACTCGTTTTTCAACCACTGCACACATTTCATGTTAACAAACTATAATTTTGGCAGGTCGGTTAGGACATCTACTTTGCGCATGACACCAGTAATTTTTCCAACAATTGTTTACAGACAGATTATTTCACTTATAATTCACTGTATCACAATTCCAGTGGGTCAGAAGTTTACATACACTAAGTTGACTGTGCCTTTAAACAGCTTGGTAAATTCCAGAAAATAATGTCATGGCTTTAGAAGCTTCTGATAGGCTAATTGACATCATTTGAGTCAATTGGAGGTGTACCTGTGGATGTATTTCAAGGCCTACCTTCAAACTCAGTGCCTCTTTGCTTGACATCATGGGAAAATCAAAAGAAATCAGCCAAGACCTCAGAAAACAAATTGTAGACCTCCACAAGTCTGGTCATACTTGGGAGCAATTTCCAAATGCCTGAAGGTACCACGTTCATCTGTACAAACAATAGTACGCAAGTATAAACACCATGGAACCACACAGCCGTCATACCGCTCAGGAAGGAGACGCGTTCTGTCTCCTAGAGATGAACGTACTTTTGTGCGAAAAGTGCAAATCAATCCCAGAACAACAGCAAAGGACCTTGTGAAGATGCTGGAGGAAACAGGTACAAAAGTATCTATATCCACAGTAAAACGAGTCCTATATCGACATAACCTGAAAGGCCGCTCAGCAAGGCAGAAGCCACTGCTCCAAAACCGCCATAAAAAAAGCCAGACTACGGTTTGCACCTGCACATGGGGACAAAGATCATACTTTTTGGAGAAATGTCATCTGGTCTGATGAAACAAAAATAGAACTGTTTGGCCTTAATGACCATTGTTATATTTGGAGGAAAAAGGGGGTGCTTGCAAGCCGAAGAACACCATCCAAACCGTGAAGCACGGGGGTGGCAGCATCATGCTGTGGGAGTGCTTTGCTGCAGGAGGGACTGGTGCACCTCACAAAATAGATGGCATCATGAGGAAGGAAAATTATGTGGATATATTGAAGCAACATCTCAAGACATCAGTCAGGAAGTTAAAGCTTGGTCGCAAATGGTTCTTCCAAATGGACAATGACCCCAAGCATACTTCCAAAGTTGTGGCAAAATGGCTTAAGGACAACAAAGTCAAGGTATTGGAGTGGCCATCAAAAAGCCCTGACAATTTAAAGGCAATGCTACCAAATACTAATTGAGTGTATGTAAACTTCTGACCCACTGGGAATGTGATGAAATAAATAAAAGCTGAAATAAATAATTATCGCTACTATTATTCTGACATTTCACGTTCTTAAAATAAAGTGGTGATCCAAACTGACCTAAAACAGCACATTTTTACTAGGATTAAATGTCAGGAATTGTGAAAAACTGAGTTTAAATGTATTTGGCTAAGGTGTATGTAAACTTCCGACTTCAACTGTATCTACCCTGACTATCTGCATTGACCCATTTTGCACTAACTCTTTTGACTCTTCACATAAGCTGCTGCTACTGTTTATTATCTATCCTGTTGCCTAGTCACTTTACCACTACCTATATGTACATATCTACCTCAATTACCTCGTACCCCTGCACATCGACTCGGTACTGGTACCCCCTGTATATAGCCAACTTATCATTACTCATTGTGTATTTATTCCTCGTGTAATTATTTTTCATTTTTTTCTCTCTGCATTGTTGGGAAGGGCCCGTAAGTAAGCATCTCACTGTTAGTCTACACCTGCTGTTTACAAAGCATGTGACAAATACAATTGTATTTGATTTGATTTGATTTACTATTCATCTGGAATGGCAGCTGATGGGAAATACTGGAAGTAAAGAGGAGGGAAGGAAAAAAGAAAGAGTCTAGATAAACACTAGCCTAACAATGCAACATATCCTCTCTCTCTCTCTCTCTCTCTCTCGCTCTCTCTCAATTCAATTCAATTTCAATTCAATTTAAGGGCTTTATTGGCATGGAAAACGTATGTTAACATTGCCAAAGCAAGTGAAGTAGATAGTAAAGAAAAGTGAAATAAACAATAAATATTAACAGTAAACATTACACTCAGAAGTTCCAAAAGAATAAAGACATTTCAAATGTCTTTATTATGTCTATATACAGTGTTGTAATGATGTGCAAATAGTTAAAGTACAAATGGGAAAATAAATAAACATAAATATGGGTTGTATTTACAATGGTGTTTGTTCTTCACTGGTTGCCCTTTTCTTGTGGCAACAGGTCACAAATCTTGCTGCTGTGATGGCACACTGTGGTTTTTCACCCAGTAGATAAGGGATTTTATCCAAATTGGGTTTGTTTTTGAATTCTTTGTGGCTCTGTAATCTGAGGGAAATATGTGTCTCTAATATGGTCATACATTTGGCAGGAGGTTAGGAAGTACA